TAGCCGGTGACCGAAAATTGGTTCATACGCCAATTGTTCCCACAGGATACTGGAGCCAGCCCATGTGCACCATTGGTTTGGGATCCGGTTAAAGCGCCGGACATTCGCTTTTCGTTATCTCATTTTTTTTAAAAACGCCCCCGCCACGAGAAGGCAGTGGGCAGGACTTCCCTGGTAGAGGCTGTATACGCGTGGCCGTCTGAGAGTATTTCGAGAGGGAGGGCGGACCCACTCCACTCTCGGCCATACCAGGGCATTTGGGGGCCAACCTCAAGTGGTGTTCGTCAAGGCTGTCCACTTTCTCTTTTTTTGTTTAACTTCATCATAGACCTACTGATGGAAATAATGCTCTCGTCGACTGAATTTTCGGCTATTGATATCCTTCCAGGAGGTCCACTTATCGACTTAGTATATGCAGATAACATAGTCCTGTTTGGTGAAGACGATTCCATCATACTCCACAGATTGTTCAAAACCCAAAAAGATTGACTCGCGAGGAGCAGGCTGGTTTTTGTTCTGGTCGAGGATGTATTGATCATATCTTCACCCTCCGCCAAATGTTAGAACACCGCCATACTTATCAAAGGCCGACAATCGTAGTGTTTCTTGACATCAGGGCTGCCTTCGATTCGTTGGATAGGACTATTCTCTGGGATTGTCTGTTGAATTAGGGTGTGCCTAAGAAGTTTATTGACATCCTGAACTCCCTATATACTAACACCTCAGGCAGAATGAGGGCATACAACCACATCTCTTCATTGTTCCATTCGAGCAGTGGGGTTAGGCAGGGTTGCCCAATCTCACCATTCCTCTTCAACTTTGCCATCGATGACATTCTGGATACAACTCTGATGGATGTAAGTAATGACAGTGTGGATCTGTTACCTGGAGAAAGACTTTTCGACCATGAGTATGCGGATGATATCTAAGCCATGCAATCCGCACTTAATCAGTTGGCATGTGTTTTGCCCCTTCTAAGTTCAAAGTACTTTTCAAAACTGTCTGGACTTTCATCCTGCACACACCCTGGGTAGTAAGCAGATAGAAGTAGTCGAGAAGGTTGTGCATCTGGGTAGTTGATCAAGTGCTGGTAATGAAATCGATTCGCGTACATTGAAGGTCAGATATTTATGCCAATCTGGGCCGTCTTTGGCGCTTTCGTTATGTTATTCTGGCTGCAAAGGGTCGAATCTACAACACATCGGTGAGAGCAGTTTTGCTCTATGCTTCCGGCACCTGGTCTCTCCGAGCTGAGGATGTTAGACGACTCTGTGGCACAGAAGAGAATCGTTCAGGTAGCCGATGGGGACTTGTTGGTCGCAGGTCAGATAACGGAGACCGTCTACTGCAACTGTGCACAGACCACAGCCTGTTTCTGGCTAGCACCAACTTTCGGCACAGTCATCGCCGATGTGCCACCTGGCGTCCTCCCTCTGCATCCCAAGCCTGGACTCAGATTGATCACATCGCGATCAGCTACCGCTGGCGTGGTTGTGTACAAGACTGCCGCTCCTTTTGGAGTACCTATCTGGACTCTGACCATGCTATGGTCTGCGCCAACCTTACCTTACTTTTCAGTGGCCAACGAAGTGACCGCCATCAACGGATTGATATTAGCAAGCTGGTTGCAACTTCTGTTGCTAGTAAGTATCGAACCGAGCTAGTTTCTAGGCTAGCTACCATTCCACCGAAAAGTATAGATGAGCATTGGTTGCAATTGCATGACGCCATGAAAATGGCGGGTACAGTCAGTTGTGGGTTCGCGAAACGTCCCGCTTATAAGCACTGGGTTTCTGCAGGTTCCTTACAACTCATTGAAGCCCGTCGATCTACTCTGGGTGACCGTGAGTTTGACCACAAACGAAGGATGTTATGTAATGGAATTAGGCAAAGCTTGCGTAAGGACCGAAAAGCATGGTGGTCGGAGCGTGCTAATGAGCTGGAAGCAGCAGTTGCATCTGGTAATTACCGGAAGCTCTTCCAACTCATCCGAGCCACTGGCAGCAAGAGGTCTGGTGTGAGCGAAACAATCTGTGAGGATAACGGGATGCCAATCACTAACATCCATCAACGTCTTGGACGATGGGTCCTATATAAAAACACCTCAGGCAGAGTGAGGGCATACAACCACCTCTCTTCATTGTTCCATTCGAGCAGTGGGGTTAGGCAGGGTTGCCCAATCTCACCATTCCTCTTCAACTTTGCCATCGATGACATTCTGGAAACAGCTCTTATGGATATAAGTAATGACAGTGTGGATCTGTTGTCTGGAGAAAGACTTCTCGACCTTGAGTATACTGTTGATATTGTCTTACTGTGCGATAATGCTCAAGGCATGCAATCCGCACTTAGTCAGTTGGCAATCAGTGTCCGTAGATATGGTATGTGCTTTGCACCTTCGAAGTGCAAAGTACTTCTACAAGACTGATAGGATTCTAATCCTGCACTCACCCTGGATGGCGAACAGATAGAAGTAGTCAAGAAGTTCGTGTATCTAGGTAGCTGCATAAGTGCTGGTGGGGGGTGTGAGTGATGAGATCAATGCACGTATAGTGAAAGCCAGAGCGGCTCATGCCAGTCTGGACCACCTTTGGCGCCTTCGTGATGTTATTCTGGCTGCAAAGGGTCGAATCTACAACACATCGGTGAGAGCAGTTTTGCTCTATGCTTCCGGCACCTGGTCTCTCCGAGCTGAGGATGTTAGACGACTCTGTGTTTGATTATCGTTGTCTCCGAAGGATTGCTGATTTCTAGTGGCCACAACATGTTGGTAATGCAGAGGTTCGGCATCGTGTTAGGGCACAGCGACGATAATTCAATCTATGTCATCATCTTGAAACAACGAGTTCGGTTACTTGGACATGTACTATGAATGTCGTCCCAGAGAATTTCACATCGCGCATTCTTTCCCGACGCTAAGAACGATTGGAAAAAACGGAGAGGTGGTCAGTGTATGACATGTCGTAGCACGAAAGAAAGCTGTACAGAACTGGCTTCTGTTGGTCCTTCACGACTCCCTGGCTGGGGTCCGAGAGATGGTGCGACACCGTGGTTTTAGACGTCATACGTGACTCACAATGAAAGCCTGCAGTAATCCTGCTATAACTTTCCTCATAAAAGTAATGATAACTTTAGCTGAAAGATTTCTTTCTAGTTGTATTTTTCGCAACTGAACAGTTTCTCCCATTATTATGATTATTATTTCACTCTCGTATATTAATTTCTTTTTATTTTACGCACTTTACATTCTCTCTCTTCACAACCTCATTGTTATTGTATGGCGCATATGTATTTGGTGCCCCTTTGTACCAATGTTTATGTGCTCAAATAAATAAATAGAATTAATTTGCTGTTCACAGAGGATCTTAGGGAATCGCAAAAGCAAAACAAAATAATGTGAAAAGTGTCCTATTATCTCATCCTTTCAACATTGGGTAACCATTCTAATGATCTAGGCATTTACCTACTTAATACCTCTGTAGCTCTGTCGGTTTATAATTCTCAGTATTTGATAGATCACTGCTATCCCATATAAGCTTTATCGATATTTACTGAATCGGTAATTTGGACAGCAGTTTCCTTCTATATAGTAGGACTTTTGTCGTCATTTGCATACTACTTCGTTTTTTGTCAGTTCAGCATTTTCTTCAGAAATCCATTGTTCCATGTCAAATGCATGTGCATCTCTTGATAGTGCATGTCATCATGAACAGTATGAAAATTTTCAGTAAATTGAAGCGTTTTTTATCTTCAGTGGTAATTAGTCAATTACGTGGGTATTTAAAAGCAAATTTTACAGTATTTAGGTTATTATTTTTAGTATTTCATCCCTATAATTACATATAAATTTGTCTGTATAGTTTTTTGTCTCCAGAAACTAATTATTAGTCACTGTTTATGTATTTCGAGGCTAGCAATACCTTCCTGTTTGAAGTTAGTATCAGTAACAGATCTCTTCATGTTAGATCCCCTGAACTCACTTGGTAAATGCCTTAATTTCATAATTTTATTTTGGAAGTTTAAAATTCCTTGTTTTCGCGCCATAAGCGCACTTTTCACCTTCATGTCATATTTCCCACTTGGGAGAATCTTTAACGCTATTGGTCCGTTGTGTGTTTTTAGTATGCTATTTTTGCTACGCTCCCCAAAGACAGTTTCATGCTGTATATATACGTTTGATTTGTGTCTGTTATTATTCACTCGTGCTTTTGGCTTACAGAACATACCTTCCCGTTCCAAGCTTGGGGTTCTTCCTCTAGTTAGCGGGTCTGGCACGCATCAAATAGCTAGCTTATTGGTCTACGGTCACAAGTCTTTGTTCGGTTCGCATACTAATTGAACTCGTAATGTCTTCAAACCTAGCACAATTTTACTGTGTACATCTTAAACGTAACTTTGTTTCTTAGCTATTGACTTAGTTATTTTTTACTTCATATTGTTCCTTTCTGGCTATTCTATTGTTTTGAAATGTGACTGAGTTAGTTTACTTTCGAGCTTGGTTCGGCGCTGTTTGGATGAAGTTTCTTTTAGACCCTTTCTTATAAATACAACTCATTATGATCCACACGTGAACTAAATCTTTTTGAAACTTATACAATCAACTAGTGTCATATACTAGTATATTTTATAAATCTGCCACGTGATCCGGCAAGCGAATAGAATACCAAAAAACACTCAGGAAATAAGTACATTATTCCCGTAATAGCTTTCTAGCACAGTCTTTATGGATCGAAAAGACAACATTTTATAGTTTATTGTAGCATCAACCAGTGGTAATGCTATTCGAAACGCATGGGCATTCAGAGGAAAAATGGAAGTGTTTTTGATAATCAGATACTAAAAACGTAACTTTCAGAGCGCCAAATTCAAATTTACACACGCTTAAGGAAATTCGGTATCGTAACGACTAAAAACACCTTTATTTTCAGATATGTGTAGCCGAGTTGTTATTTCCCAATTTTAATAATATTTGTTTCCATGTGTCAATCATTTCATTTTAGGGAACTTAGAAGGTTGGTACTTCAACCAAATCAAGGGGACCTGTGAAGATGTCAATGAAGGTAACAGAATAGAATGTCTTTTATTTACGCTATGGATCTTTAGCTGATATTATATCTTGTGTTGAATATGATAAAACTGGCGACTTTTTAGCAACCGGTGACCATGGCGGTAGAATAGTGATTTTTAAACGAGAAAATGAAGTTAGTTATAAAGTTGATAATATTTAACACGTTTTTGTATATCTATAATCCCAAACCATATATATATATATATATATATATATATATATATATATATATATATATATAGAGAGAGAGAGAGAGAGAGAGAATATTAAAAAAAACTATTTATAGACTAATATGTTTTGATATTTAGTGTTGATTCGATGACATCTTCAGCGCTCTGGAATGTTTTATGTACATCCATCCAATGCCTGCTTAGGTGCCTAATGTTTAGTGTAGGAGTGTTAGAACAAGTATAGGGACGCCCAAACCCACTTGTGGGATCAGTTCATGAAGTGATTGACTATTAGGCTGAGTCGTGCTGGCTGATACAGACTACCTGGTTGGGATTCATGTGATTATCGTGACCACTGCTCTGAGACGTTGAGTGGCGTGAATCAGAATCAGTCTCAAGGGCAAAAATACGTTCCTCTGTGGTAGCACCTTGGATTCCAAGTCTTAAAATTATTGTGCACTTTTTGCCCCCCAAATTTATTCTCTCTCTTCGTGAATCATGTTGTCTATACCTAATTATTTCTACTACCGCTGACATTGGTACTAATTCTACTACACGGGCATGTTTCTTGATAATTTCGTCTTGTGCTGCTATAGTGTGACAACTGAAACTGGTTCATGTATTTGCTAAATTCTACTTTATGATTGACAAATTCTAAGTCGGACAAAAGTTTCCTTGCTCACCCCTTATAGTTGGTGTACGAGTTTTGTAATTCAACGGTTTATTTCAGTTACCATAATTTAACGTCTTTGTTCATATCTTCATCTGTCAGAATTATGGATTGGTAGTAGCCTTAATTCTTTTATAGGATCATTGTAAGTGTGAATCGCGAAATGGTGGGCTCTTTAACTTTAGACTCCTGTCACACAATTTCTAACTGCTTGATAAAAATAGGTTTGCTTTTTTGAAAATTCTAAGATACACAATTACGTTCGATTTTTCAACTTCTATTGGTGAATGATTTTGTGGCTGTTTAACTTTCACATTGGCTCAAATGCATTCACTCGTTATTCTCTTCTTGATCGCTTCATGTACTTACCTTTCCACGCAAGCTTTTCACCAATGCTTGGTTTTTTTAATCATTACTACTGCTAAATTATTTCAATCTTTTACAATTCATCTGGTACTAATTTGGTATGACAATATGGTCCAGCATATCTATGCTAGGTTCTGCTTTGATGATGTCTGTATGTCGGACTAATATTCGCTTGCAACAAAGTTTAGTGGCTATCACACGTATTAGCTTACGAGACTACATCGTTTAATAAACGAATTTATTATTACTGTTGGGGAGATAGTTTACTCACTGCTAGCTGTTTGAAAGCTAATTTCATGTTATATATCATTGGTGAATATGAAAAGTGACACAACCTATAAAGATCTTTTAATTACTTTCTAAAGAACCCTCTATAATTCATATTAGTTTCAAAAAGCGGATTGAATCGGTGCAAAAGTATTCGTTTTTGGTCTTCCTTTCAGTTTTAAGCAATAATATGGTCTCAAACTTTCCTTATGCTCCGATTTCATTTGCTTTCTTTAAAGGATTACAGAATAGATGGATTTTAGTTGGTGATCGAATCCAGTATTCGGGTTTCGTTCTATTCTGGTACTAGTTAGCTAAATCTGTGATCCATTCTAGTGCTGATGTTCAACTTGGGATTCAAACCCAGAACCTCTAACTTCAAATTTCAATGTGAACGTCAACATCGAGGTGCAGATAGAACAAAACCCACTTTCTGGTTTCCATTGCTAGCCATAATCTATCTGTTCTAAATATTTGTAACGAAACAGCTATATCAAGACAGTCCTCACAGGATGCACGTATCCCAGTATGTAGGACTGATCTAAACTTGATCTTAAATATCAAAATGTTGGATAATTCAAACTCTTACTAGTAATAATACTATTGCTTTCTCCTCCATTTTTCTCATTTTCTCCTGATGCGTAACTACTTAGGTTAGTGAACAATTGTACCATCACTTTATGTATCTCCCTTACGCCCGTTTATTTTGTTCATTTTATTGTGTATAATTTGTAGTTGGCAATTTTATATTTAACATGAGGCCAGACTATTGACATTTTTAAATTATAAACCTAACACATCAAGAACCACTCACAGAAAGACTGTATGTGACCGGCTTTAAGCAGTTACCTCTTAGATTTTGTGAACACGCTATCAAGTCTTCAAGATTATTACTAATCCAATTTTCTTTCCAGTCACCTCAAGAACAGTTATTATTCCTCACCGTCGGCAACCTCTAAGAGTACTCGAGATCTTTCAATCCGCGACCAAGTATCCCACATAACAGTTATTATTATCAGTCATTCGATCACAAGTTTAAACTCCATTCTACTTGATTTATTCTCGACAGTCAACCACCAGGGTAACAGGCTTGAAGTTCATTGTGCTTGCTTCGGGTTACACGACACGATAGCGTGTCACTAACTCTTGCGAAAAACTGTTTGACTCAAATACAATGTACATCATATCTGTTCTGGCATACTGAGTTGAATTATTAAGTTATACTAAAATCATAGTAATTCACTCGTCCATCTACGATTCACTCTTTTTTCTGAAAAAATTTTGTAGGATAAACTTCAAAAATGCATCAGTCACAATGTGTATTGTACATTTGTCAGTCATGAACCGGAATTTGACTATCTTAAATCATTGGAAATTGAAGAGAAAATCAATAAAATCCGATGGTTACCACGTACTAATCATGCACAATTTCTGCTTTCTACAAATGGTCAGTATTATTTTTTTGTTCATCTTGCCTTGCTAAGGAAAAACTGAATATTTAAGCTCAGTAATTGTTTCTGTCTAGTTCCACATTCTGATTATTGTGCTGAACTATCCTTCATAATTATTCAAATTAGTCTCTTGCAATTTCTCACTGTTTCCAAGATGCAAAATGGTCACGTGGGTTGGGGAAGCGGCGCTGGTGGAACGATGTTAAGATGATCAAATCTATAAGGACAACATAGTGGCAACTAGAAAAGACTCTAACTTCTAAATTATTTCATGGACGTTTTTTTCAAAAGTGAAAATGTAAGGGGCTGGACAGATATATTAAGTCTGTTGTTCCAGGAATATTTATAAATATGAGATAAGAAAACCGATATACCTGGAATTGTGTAAAATAATATTTTAATGAGATTGGTTCATGTATTTATTGGATAGACTACGTGTGTGTAAACGTATTTTGTAGCAGGGTTGTTTCATTTGCTTCTAATAGTTACCAAACAATTGATACGTTGTCTACCTCGTTCTCTCCCCTCTCTATTACAGACAAAACAATTAAACTTTGGCGCATTACTGAACGGTGTCGACGTGTTGCCAATAGTACTTGTACATCCTCTGATTACTTCTTACACAATAATACAACTAGCAGTACTAATACTACCGATAATGATGATAATCTTATGTTGAACGATAAGAATAACTCATCCGTTTCATTGAATAAAATTTATCAGAAAACTGATCTACGTATACCATATTATGAAGATATTGACCCTGTCATGGATGCACATCCTAAACGAATATTTGCTAATGCACATACTTATCTTATCAATTCATTATCAGTGAATTCCGATCAAGAAACATTTCTCTCAGCGGATGATTTAAGAATTAATTTATGGAATTTAGAAATTACCAACCAATCATTCAGTATCCTTTTCTTGATCCCTTATTGTTTGTTCAATGTTAGATAGTTTTTTTGTAGAGGAACTTCGTTTTTACCCGTGTGTACTTTTGGTAAGTATTTTTGGATCACGGACATTGACTATAGCTTAAGGATCCCTGTGCTGCAATAAATAACACTCCTAGTTACAGGTCAGTAGATTCCGGGTTTGGGCCTTAATGAGCTATTGTAGAGCAGGGACTTAAGGATTCAACTTTCAGGTTTTAGTCACTGGTTCAACCTACTTCCATGTAATATCGCTGGGCCTCACACTTAAATTGTGTCCCTTAGCCAAGCGCACAAGTCTGCATTTAGTAAGTGTGCGAAAATTTAGGCTAAGAAAGTATGGAGAATCACTGAACAACAAATAGTCATTTTTAATTATGTATGGTGCTCGTCACGCAAGACTAGGATTCAGTCTTTTATGAAATTATGTAAGCATGCTTTTGAAGAGTTTCAAATTAAATCCTATAGGAACTCAATAGGGAGATTTACTTGGATCTAAGCTATTTGCTAGTTAGTACTACCCAGCAATGCGTTTCTGTAGTCCTCCAAAAACTAGTACTTCTTGTGAGTTTGAACGCGCGTCGCCCAGCATCAAAAGGAAGCCATCACTTAGCCTTTTGAGTCATAATGTTACCACCTGTAGGACTGATTGAACGTTGAGCAGCAATTCATATAGTTTATGCGAGACCCTTGGTACTGATGCAATTCTATCGATCTCTATTTCGGTTGATCTATTAGTTATCAATTAGTAGTAGCTCAGTCAATTATCAACGCTGTTGTACAGATGAACTTGTGGAGACTAATCACTGCACAAGTCTATACTAAGCTTTAGTCAAACTGAAACTAACTTAGTCATTATTTAGTGGCAACTTGTTTTTCTTTTTCTCCAACTATTCAACGCATTGCATACACAAAGTACTTACACTATGCTTGACTAATAAACGAGGAAAAATTCTGATCTCGTATTGAATTTATCTAAGACAAATTCATACAGATATTTGTGTTGTATTAATAATAATAATAAGTAATTCAGCAGCCACTTACGTATACATATATATACAACAAAATATGAAGTAAGACTATTTTTCTTTAACCCCTTCTTTTAAAAAAAATAATAATAAGATATTGTTGATTTAAAACCTGTGAATATGGAAGATTTGTCTGAAGTGATAACAGCTGCGCAATTTCATCCATCAGCGTGTTCATTATTTATTTACAGCAGCAGTAAAGGCACCATACGTTTATGTGATATGCGTCAACGTGCACTGTGCGATGAACATGCATTGTGTAAGTAGTATTCTATTTACCTTATTGTGCGATGTAAGGCTATGATTTTCGTTTTGTTGGAGGAAAACATTGCTTAGGTTGTATTAGGTTCCGTGTGATCTGGACACAACGACAGGAAAAAAGATTTATGACCTCTCTCTCTAGTCCGTTTATCGATTAGTCCAGCTATACTGCTAGTAAAATCAGTGACATTCTAAGCACCGATGAACACGTCGACCATTGAACAACAACTAAGGCCTTAACGACGCTTATTGATCTCCGAGCTCCTAACCAGGTGGACAATTAGAAAATAAAGATAAAAAACAAAACAATTATCTGTCGTACTCAATCCAACTATGGTTCAAGACTCGTACAATTATCTACCTGAAACGACTGGTTAAACAGCGATACGACTAGAGAATCACAATGTGTACATGACTTAGTCATAATTGATGCATAATCAGAAGAGAATGGTTAAGAAATGATAAATCTGAGACAAGTAGACATATGACAGCGACTTATAGATCAGGTGATATAACGAGTGGTAATCAATCGTAACTTTTGGAACAATCATATGAGGGATTTTTATTTTGTAATTAGTACACTCTTGAACTGTTATATTTTGTATTCTCCTATCCCCAAGCTTTCACTTGATCTATGGGTCATTGTCATATGTCTACTTGTCTCAGATTTATCATTTCTTAACCATTCTCTTCTGATTATGCATCAATTATGACTAAGTCATGTACACATTGTGATTCTCTAGTCGTATCGCTGTTTAACCAGTCGTTTCAGGTAGATAATTGTACGAGTCTTGAACCATAGTTGGATTGAGTACGACAGATAATTGTTTTGTTTTTTATCTTTATTTTCTAATTGTCCACCTGGTTAGGAGCTCGGAGATCAATAAGCGTCGTTAAGGCCTTAGTTGTTGTTCAATGGTCGACGTGTTCATCGGTGCTTAGAATGTCACTGATTTTACTAGCAGTATAGCTGGACTAATCGATAAACGGACTAGAGAGAGAGGTCATAAATCTTTTTTCCTGTCGTTGTGTCCAGATCACACGGAACCCAATACAATCCATGTATCTAGGTTCCTCTTTTTTTCACCATTCTATCGACGATAACTCTGATTTTGATTTTTTTTTTCTTGTTTTATCCCTTCTTTTATTCCCTCTATTTTGCAGCGTTTGAAGAAGTCGACGATCCAATGAGTCGGTGTTTTTTCTCTGAAATTATTAACAATATATCCGATTTAAATTTTAGTCATTCCGGTCGTTATATTTTAAGTCGAGATTACTTAACATTGAAAGGTACAGTGTAGTTACCGTTTTTTTTTGAAATCTCTATGTCTTTTTATTTTTGTTTTCAGACAGGACTGATTATTTGTTTAACAACTCAAATAAATAGGGAATTATCTATAATTTGACGTGCACACTTTTATTGTACTTCCAAATGCCATTTTTCACTGGACATTCTGTAATCATAAGTTTATCCATTCGAACAAGGTAAGCTCCAGTTGTCAGAGGTGTAGGTAGTAGTAATTTCCTTGTCGCTCTCACACATTGGAAGGTCACGCCTTAAGGAATTTGAAAAGAAACTGGTTTCATGGTAATCTTAAAGTCCTGGAGGCGTAGTCACAGATCCCACGGAACAACTACTTTTTGTAGTCGTGAATGTCTTAAAATAGTATTATCGCTTTGTATTTGACTTGGAACCTTTTAAAAAATTTAAGTGCCCTACAAGCAAGTTGAATAATAATACCTCTAGTTTTCTGAACATTGCTAATTATGCAAGTCTGATGACTTCATCAAATTCAGCTTCGGATTGTGTAATATATACACATATCCATTAATGTAAGCTGTTTATAGAGACTGTTAAATTTGAAGTTTCTTTGTCATGAACTATTGATGACCAAAAATGCACCAGACTAGTGGTTCATCTTAATATTACCATTCAGTAGTGCGTTCTTCGCAAGGTCCAGAGTTTTTAGACTCAATCCCTGATAAGGATGTGGATGCACACTGCTTAGGAGCTCCATACTAGGACGAAATAAGCCTCTCTTTGATGCTCCACAAACTTTTTGTACCAATAACAAGGCAAAATATATTAAAGTCTATTTAAATAAATACATCTATACGAAACAAGAGTGGATTTTATATGATCACAGGGCTAAAATGTTCATATGATAATTCACTTGGTTTATTCGGGATTTTCTTTTTAAATTTCATTCACTCTTTGTGATCTCATTCACTTTTGTCTTTAATTCCTCATTTTTTGTTTCATGATTCAATTATTTTAGTTTGGGATTTAAATATGCCTCGTCGACCAGTTGAAACTTACCTTGTTCACGATTATTTCCGTACAAAATTATGTGCACTCTATGAAAATGATTGTATATTTGATAAATTCGAATGTCAATGGTCACCAAACGATGAGTAAGTAATAGGAAATCGTAATAATGATTTAAAAATGAACTATGCTGTATATTTTCAATCGGTTTATGAAGAAAGTCTCAGCATAACTCAAGCCACACAGTCTGAGTGCAACAAGGCCTAGTGATATTACCCAGTTGACCAAAAGTGAATGTAATGAAGCGGTTTGAAATCTGCGACCTAATGCTGCAGGTCAAACATTTTTACCATTGAGCTATATCTGTCCAAGATCGCCTTGCCTACTTTTGTCTAAATAACATAAATAGCATATTTAACAATAGTATTTGAATTCCAGCACAAATTCTAGTACATATACCTAATTATTACGTTAATGAGTCGTAATTTAAGTTCCTCCTTAAATGTCGAGTACATATGTAACTTGTTAGTAACCACACACCATGCGTGTACAACACCCTAGGCTTGATCTGCGGTCAGGCCTTGGATGCACACTGCTACTCAGGAGACCAATACTACAACGAAACAACTTGTTCAGTGCTTCCTGGTTTTGATGACTGTCTAACTAAGATCAATTTATGGTGTAAATCATAGAATTCAAAACACCCCGCAAAAGCCTTAAGAAAAAGTCTAGTTATTTTTGAAATCATGGACGTGTTATATGAAAAATCGTTGAATATCAGGGCTAAACTGAACTGCTATTTTATTCTAGTTTCAGAGTTCTTTAAAGGACTTACATATCCGTTACATTTCATTGACTTCAAGATCTGCTGGTGTCTTGTGGGTGTTATGTCTTATGACCGCTGGCCAAAATCAAGGGCCGAAACCACCAATCAGAATCTTGATTTCTATGACTTAATGTCCCTGAGCTGACCAATTACACATCCGACCATTATAACTTTGATTCGAATTCTCAGCCCTTATTGGTCCACAGTTCCGTAGCCCCTTTCTCTACCCTGTCACTGATCAGCTTCAACGAATATTATATTTTAAACAGACATACGCAAGTATGCCACACCACACATCACACCATCTAATAAAAAATAACAATTATACATGGTGAAATCAAAAGTATCTGTGAGAAAGGGACTCAATATCCGTTCCGTCACAACATTAGAGATCTCAATACTTCAATTCTCCTGGTTGAAATCGGTTCACATTTATGTCATTACTCAACGATCGGTGATATATATCTCACTTAATATGATTCTTCACTTCTAGCGATAATAGCTCTTTGTTTAGAAATTTGAGAATTTATCTTGAATTTTGATTTTTTTGATCACATATAATGTTGTGGCTCAATGGATTAAATGAGTCAGCTTCTGACCATTGATTTAAGAGCCCAAAGCCATTTACTTAATTAATTTTGGTTTGAAAAGTTTAACAGCTTCATTAGAATTTATACCTTAGTTGTATTGCAAAGTATCCTGGTGTAAATAAACCTATCCACTCAACTATGCATAATCTACATTTGAACCGGGAATAATATTATAGATCACATCTGACATTTTCTCTTCACACCAACATAACAATCTAAAGTTCAAATAATTAATGCATAATGGAGAATTCATCGTAAACAGTATCTATCAACATGGTTATCAAAATATTTTGTAAATAGAATAATCGATTTATTGTTATCAAATCACTTGTTCTCTGTATGTTGTGTAAGTAATTATATCACTGAAAAATATTGTACTTGTTTAGTATGACAGCCGCGGTATTGTTTTTTTCTAGATGATTATTATTACTTTTATTTTATTTGTTTACTTGTTATGCATTGTTGGAATGACTGATGCTTATCTCTGATTGGTTGGTTTGTTTTTTAACTTCGACTAATCAATTTAGGTCTTGACCAATCAAAATCTGCATAAAAGTAGTGTGGAATTGATTAGCGGTAGAATTGTTTGACCATTTTAAACCCTGTTTTTTTTTCTGAAAATTGGTTGTTCACCAGTTCATCTCGCGTGTTTAGTGTTGCTGTTAAAGTGATGTAACCTGTCATGCTTTAGTGTTCAAGCAAAACGATGTTACTGAAGCCACGGCACTTTCGGCTTATTTCTCCGTTCATTTAGTGGATGAATAAGTTATCCGAAAATGTTCAATGTGAAATACGCCAGTGTAGCACAGACCAGCATCCCTGATTAATATATATATATATATATATATATATATATATATATAATGAGATTTAGAGTTCGAAAATGAAATTTTTGTCAAAATTGCACTCCGAAATCCAGTACGAACGAAAGAAGTCAAAAGTGCTGTTTAACACACTACTTGAACATTAGAAACATGACATAAAACCTCAATCTTATTGTTATGTCTATTTTTCTAAGAGCATCACACTACGAGGTACCTAAATGTAACATACTGAATTATGTAAGGACGTTTTGTATGGTCTATATTCAGATTTATTTTCGTCACCTTATTGTTCTGTCCCTCGGCTCTATTCAGTGTTACTAAAGTATACCTCTTAAACACAACTGATCCTCTATGTTGACAGAAGTAACCCAGTGTGGGAAGCTTTATTGCCAAGACCCCAATATTGATGCTTAAATTTTTCGAATTCCCAAGTGTGTGAAGTGACTCAGTCAAAGGCATGTAGAGGGTGACCTCAGATTGATGAATAATTCGCTCACTCATACAATGCGCTGTCCATACTTTGATCTTTCAATATGTGGCGTTAAAACAGTCTAAGATTTATCCCTTCTTGAACATTAATGGATGAACGATAGTACAATTTTTTAGATGCCAAGTTTTGAATTTAGAGTTCTAAGCGGTAATCTGAGGCTCTTTGAATCAAGTATTTAAGTTTAGAACGGCAACTAAGAAGTGTGTTCTCCATATTAGCTTATTTATATAGGTTTATTCACTAGTCTATCGGGCAAACTTTCAGTTCAAACATTTTGGTAGTTGTAATACAAACTAACTAACAGATTTCGGTTTATCAAAGCGTTTTGAGGAAAGAGTTTGTTAATCTTTTACGTAAATTTGGAAGACAGTTGGAAAAATTTAAAGGTATAAACGATCATAATAACAGATTGAGTTGTGTATACAAAAATTAATTACTGGAACCACGAATCTTTCAATATTGCTCTGTAATATCCTGTATATTCTAGAATTATCGAAAAAACTTGTATTATATTCTCAATCCGTCCACTAACATTGACTGGACTAGTCAACATATTGCGACGCACACTTTTATAGTAGGGCTACAGTTGTCGTGATTCTATCCTGCTAAGATGGACTTCACATAGTAATTATGATGTTATATGTGTCCTATCGTTATGTTCTAACGAAATGTCAACTCTATGTAATTAAAACTAATGTGTTTTCCACATAAGCATGTTAGTCAATTCGGTAAAACTTCATTTTTTAAAAGTTATAATTAAAAATCTCAAGCTTTTTCACTTAAAAACCTTTCAATGGTTTTGCTTTGATCATTAAATAATATAGTTTTAATCAACTTGATGTGGTTCAATCAAAGCGTACATAACAAATAAACTTGTATTTATGGATGAAGCTAATAAAAATGTAGTTAGTTTTCAAAACTAAAGTTTCAAGACTGATTGAAACTGGTTGCTATGGGCACTTCGTTTTTAAGCTTAGCGGGAAACCTAACACCCAATTATAGATACAGCCTACTATTGTTCAACCTTGAGCCACGTTTATTTTGCATATGTATAGACCAATGTTACTAATTGACCTGTAACAAGGTTTAAGCCCACATTATCTTGTATTGTGATCACACTATGCCCTACCGCTCCACAACTCCCACACAATAAGTCGTTATTAACATAGACCGATTTATGGTAGATAATTTTCCTCAATTCACATGTTTTTCGTAAAATTCAATTATTAAGTTAAGTTGACGAAAATAGATTAATTAATTTATGAATGACTGGAAAACATGTTTTTTTCATGTTGGCATGTACATTCCACCAATAATCCACAGTTTTTAACGGTACCATGTTATTGTTGTGTTGCATTACATTGCTATCTCTCGTACCACTACTTACGTACTCTATATTACCTGTCAATCATTCTAACTGAAAAACATTTGTCATAGGATCTTAAGTACAAATATTGAATGAAATTCTATGTATTAGATTAAATTTAATCACTTCAGTTTAGAGAGGAATTTTTACTCACAAATTTAGTTTTGTGCAAGTTGTGTCTGTTTCGTTATCCATACTCTAATGCCAAAACTATGCTAATAATACTATATCTTTTGTTATATCCCAATGAGTAGATAATTCAATAAAGAAATAACCGAAATAAATTAACACAAATTTAAATAGTACAAAGGTAACGATTTTTATTTTGGTTATTTATTTGCCCTGAAGAAGTGGCTTATGTAAATGCACGAAACGTCAGAAATACAGTTTTTCTACTCATTGGGATATGGCAAAAAATATATTTATTATTAGCTTTCTACTCAATGGTCAGTTTATTTTAATCTATCAAGCCCAACTTTGGTACTGATTAGTCGTGAAGACCTACAATTCTTTTTTTAACCAGATCAAAACGTGATCATTATCAAAATAAATGATATAAATCTGGGAAATGTATGTGAGATTATTAAAGGTGTTTTGATTACAATAATTTCAAACATATTCCCTACCTCTGTTGCTTCTATCTCATGACGTAATGATCAAGCTTTTATATTGTGAGGACCATTCAGTTGAACTGCATTGACTAGGGTCCAACATCCCATGCTCGTTGCTTGGAGAATTAAACTAAAAATAGATCTGCTTATGGTCCAAGTGAGAAATCGAATTGCCAACTGTGGTTGTACTTACTTACTTACTTACGCCTGTTACTCCCAATGGAGCATAGGCCGCCGACCAGCTTTCTCCAACCCACTCTGTCCTGGGCCTTCTTTTCTAGTTCCATCCAATTCTTGTTCATTTTTCCCATGTCTATTTCCATTTCTCGGCGTAATATGTTCTTTGGTCTTCCTCTTTTTGTTATGAATTTAAGTTGGGTCGATTTTTACCCTGTGCTAATTGTTGTGTCCTTGACTGAAAAATTAGAGAGCAGTGTACTTATCGATCGATTACAGTGACACGTAAACACGTACGGACAGCCTAGAGTCTCTATTGGTCTCGCTTCCCTGTCTAGCCCAGTCAGTTGAGTCCAGAACACAAGTCCCAACCTCTGAGATATGAATCATTATATTTCAAACATACTTTGTTTATATACCAATCAAGCATACCACATCGTACCGTAAAATAGAAAACATTTTGTACAATATTCAACAAGTGAACAGATACCGACCAATGGGAAATGTCCATTTAAAGTCCAAGGACACCATTGGACTTAACATGATAATTATTGGTCTATTCCTCCGCATCCACAACACTTTTCCTTTGGCCTTGAGGATTCCATGTGAGGGCTTGTCTTGTGACGCAGTTGGGTGCTTTCCTCAATATGTGTCCTATCCACTTCCAGCGCTTCTTCCCGATTTCTTCCTCCGCTGGGATCTGGTTTGTCCTCTCCCACAGTACGTTGTTGCTAATAGTGTCCGGCCAATGGATCTGAAGTATTTTGCGTAGAAAACTGTTAATAAACACCTGTATTTTCTGGATGATGGCTTTAGTAGTTCTCCAGGTTTCTGCCCCATACAGTAGAACTGTCTTGACATTTGTATTGAAAATCCTAACCTTGGTGTTGGCTGACAGTTGCTTTGAGCTCCAGATGTTCCTCAGTTGTAAATATGCTGCTCTTGCTTTGCCGATCCGCACCTTCACATCTGCATCAGATCCACTTTGTTCATCAATGATGCTGCCCAGATATGTAAAGGTTTTTACATCTTCCAAATCTTCTCCGTCAATTGTGATTGGATTGGTGCATTCTGTGTTGTATCGGAGAATCCTGCTTTTCCCTTTGTGTATATTGAGACCTACTGCTGCTGAGGCTGCTGCCATACTGTTCGTCTTCTCCTGCATTTGTTGTTGCGTTTTGGATAGAAGGGCCAGATCATCTGCGAAGTCTAAATCGTCCAGCTGCATCCTAGATGTCCATTGTATCCCGTGTTTCCCTTCAGATGTTGACGTCTTCATGATCCAGTCGATCACCAGGAGAAAGAGAAAGGGTGAGAGTAAGCAACCTTGCCTAACACCGGTCTTCACTTTGAACGAGTCTGTCAACTGTCCTCCATGCACGATTTCGCAGTGTAATCCATCATATGAACTCTGTATGATATTGACTATCTTCTGAGGCACGCCGTAGTGTCGAAGAAGTTTCCATGGTGTTGTTCTGTCCACGCTATCAGATGCCTTTTCGTAGTCAATGAAGTTGATGTAGAGTGATGAATTTCATTCAATTGATTGTTCCACAATGATCCGTAGAGTTGTGATTTGGTCTGTACACGATCTATCATTACGGAATCCTGCCTATGGTTGTAATTATAACTAATTGATTTCAAGTATATTATTAACGTTTATTAGTGGCAGCACTGTTAAAAAGATAGAACGTTAATTAAATATAAAGTAATTTAATAGTTAAAATCATGAGTCAATTGAAGCTAGACCACCATAAAAAACCTGGAAGCATTTGTGGTTTAGCTTTGATTGGATCTTGACCTCAATTATTAAATTACTATAATATCCACAAAAACCCCTTTCTAATATTAAATATAAAGTGTTATATAAATAAGAGTATGCTTGTTACTAATGTTGTGTTCATGTCCATTGGATGAAACAGTAGAGGGCGTGTCATGTATGTTATTGCACGCTAGCTTACGGTTATCTCAATGAGTATTAAGCAAGTTGGAAAAGTAGAAATTTAGTGTCAAAAACATCTTTTCTCCTGTCTCAAGTTTGTTCGTGTAGGTGAGATAATCACGTCCAGTGGTTGAAAACAGGTGAAATGAATCATCAGTAGTGCTGGTGCAGTCACTGCTCATGTTTCTTGAGCTATGGTATTCTTTCTCATTTTGTCTTTTTACACTATATTCTCAAAGTTTACCTTTTCTCATTACCATTAGTGCGATGATTATTCCTACTCACTTTGTTGATTCAATCTTGTGAAGATTTGAGCCAACACACATTTATGTCCGGCTCTACGTTGATTATGAACGACTGATTTATTCTTTAATTTTCTTCTTGGTAATGAATCATTTTACTGTTAAATGAAAGTATTAAATTTTGAACCAACCACTTTGAAATGTGTTTTGTCTAATGACTACAGCTTTGTGACACTGCTGTTCGTGTTAAAAATCGTCCTCAAATTTGACGAATTCATTCAAACATAAACACATCAATTTTTTTCCATCCAATTTTTTAATTAGTTTATTATTCTCTTGTTATCCTGTGTCACGTTCATGTGGAGCTATCTTGGAATATATATGCGCATATAGGGAATTCCGTTTGTACGAGAGTACTAACAATGCTTCTGCGATTTAGCTGCCCACAGCCGAGGTAGGTTTTATAGGGTTCTTACTTACTACCTAATATGGGCTTTGTCTCCATGCTTTAATTACTAAAGTTACCCCTACAGTCTGGTTCTATTCCCAACATTTTGTCGTCACATATGACTATCTACATACTGGTCACACACACATCTAAACTCTGCTGAACAATCTCTATTTTATTACAGTAACACTAAAAAGTGTATGTACAGCTCCAAAGTTGAAAATCTCATGTGTGTCAATCCAACTAACAATATTATTCCTAGTTGAGTAACAGTAGTAAGGTGTGAAGATTAGTTTTTAGTTTGAGGATACTTTTATCACAGATCGACGTGTCGATTGCAAGGGGTGTGTGAGAGTCTTGAAATTGTGATAAAACACAGCCTAACGCACAGTAGCCCATTTCAATCGTTAGCCATCAGCTATTGTCTTTAATCTGTAAAAAAAATCATCTTCATATTAATTGATTACTTTAAAGTGAAAATTATCCACAAGTTAAACTAAAATTAATTCTTTTTCGGATGATTTGTTTTCGTTGTTTTTCCCCGTGCCAAAGTTCTTCCAATATTTTTGTTTTTACAGTATGGTTGTCACCGGTTCATACAATAATTACTTTCGTGTATTTGAACGTGGTACCTCGAATGATCTACTAATGGAAGCATCTCGTGAAGCTATGGAAAATAGTGTATGCGGTAAACTGAAACCATGTCAAGTGATATCTGATGGAACTATCGGGGGTAGCAGTGCCAGTAGTAGTGGTGCTTTCGCTCGATCATGGTCTGAGGGTAAAGTCAATGTGGAATGTATGGATTTAACACGTAAACTGCTTCATTTATCATGGCACACACGTGAAAATACTCTAGCGTTGGCTGGTACTAGTAGTCTTTACTTACTTGACTACTATCCTGATAATCGTCAGTTAAGTGATAATCCAATAGAATCACAACGAACTGGTCACCTAATGAACGGTGGTGTTAATGACATTAGTAATCATTATTTTGACAACAATAATATTACTTCTACACCATCTAGTTAAACCAGTTGTACCATAATTATACTGAAAAATGTAATTCTTTCGTTACCAGTCCTGTTTTTTTTAACTCCCTCTGTTTCCTTAGAATGCAAATACACATACTTGTGCACAAACATCGTTGCGCTCCTCTCTCCTCCGTGTATATTTATATTTTTTTATAAATTGTATTGTCTATCGTTTAATTGCATTTCTAGCCTTAAAATTATTATGTCTGATTGATATGTACATTTTGGAGTATGTGCTGATTTGTATATGTATGTATGTATATTTCTAGGACTAACATCAATTGGTATTTTACATATATATATATATATATATATATATATATATATATATATATATATATATATATATATATATATATATATATATATATATATATACAAATGATTTGGCAGCAACCGTGTCTTATTTCAAATTGCGAAATTGTAGCAAACACTTTTTCAGAGACAAAACTTTTGTTACATTATTTTGTAGTAGAGGATACACTCAACCTTTCCCTCGTTGTCTTATAATCTCTTCTGTTTGTTATTGTTCTTTTTAATGAATCTAACTGAACTCTATAATGAGGATGTGTTTGTGACACACAGCCAATTGCACTGATCTTTTCTACTTCTATTGCATTTCATCTCTAATGTTTGGCTTGTCATTCATTATCTGCCTTGATTTGGTTGGCGAACAAAAAACTTTGTTAAGCGGATGTTCATACACATTCAGTTATAGATTTCGATATATGTATGTAGTACCACTTATCCACTGACGTTGACAACAAGCATCTTTCTTCATCGAATCCTTTTTACATAAATTTGTACAAAGATTTTTTTTTTTAAACTTTCTTGTATTCTTTATTCTCTTCAAGTGCTCAACTTCTATTGTCTGTGTGACTTTGTATTATTCAGGTGTTCTGTTCCATATTTGTTCTGTTGTTGTACACCTTCATGTTATTTCAAAATTTTTGTTTGATTGAAACATATTTGGTATTGTGCATGTGTTGGTGTATATGTGTGTATCCCAGTATTTTAAGTGCTCATTCTCGCTTTCACCTACATTTCAGTTCTTCATCCCTTTGTATTCACCTTATTCTTGATACGATGATGATGAATAGGGGACAGGTTGTCTAGCCATCTCCCTTGATTTCCTTGCCAAAAAAAAGAAATATATTCGTATTGATTTTTCTACTATTACTCTATCATGAACCTATTTTATCGGCGTGTAAATCAATCTATCTCTTCCGCAGATATATATGCTTATCACTTATGTGTGCTGGTAGGCAGTCCTCGTTTATGTTACTGAACAACAACTAGCTTCATCAAAACAATTCCAGGTCCACACTATGTACAAATGACTGACCGAATGTCATTTGTATCACGACAATTCGTTTGTTGGTAATCTGTTGAATGTTCCTTTTTTTACTTTTTGAATTTCTTTTTTCCTTACATTTTGTTCCATATTTGTGTAGTACACCTAGCAACGAAATTTTCTCCACACAATATGTTTTTATTACTTCACTAGAGATGTATACTATTTTCTACATACATATGGATTAATAATTGTTGTTGATCATTCAACGGTCTATTGTTGAATATTTAAACATATATACTTTTACGAATAATCTTACACCATTGTTCTCATCTCGAGGTTATTAACCATTAATATAAGGTGTTTAGATTTATTTTCACTGGTAATAAACAATCATTATTTGGTTGGAGAATAGCTGGCATGAGGTCCTGGGCTCAGCCTATATTTCATGCTAGTTGACACATCAGTAAGACATACGTGGGATTCCGAAGGAATTTATGTTCCCTATGTGGTCTGGACCCTTCACCTAGTTTCACCATCTCAAAAGTTATAATCGAGCTGTTCCGGTGGTGACCTGACTGTATAATAAATGTTCATAATTAAACTGATCACTGAGTAATGACCAGTGTCATTCCAACTCTGTCGATAAGATTCGATCATTATCAATGACTAGGTAAACACAGCATTGGTCACTACCGAGTGATCGGTGAGTTGTAACTGATAAATGGATTCTATTCAAGACAGCTTAATTATCATAAATTTGAAGTGTTGCATTCGATGTATGACAGTAGTACCTACAAACACATATATGGCTGTAGTATCTTCCAAGTAATTGTTTTAATACTAATCTGTTTCTAGATAACAGTATTATGTCGAACAGAAAATTGATAAAAGGATCTCAGTGGTATTACTATAAGGTTGAGCACCTAGCCTTTTTTCTAAATAGTTGTAGTGCTATGGTTTGATTTCTGGCAAAATATTAGTCTCGTGTATGTTGTTATTTTCACAAACATATACCTCACAATTGTGTAGAGACCTGATGAATTAGAGCGAAGGTTGGTGGATTATTATTATATATATTCTTATCCAATGATTACTAAATAACTGTATTTCACTTCTCAAAGCTTTCCTTTAACTCATTATTTCTACTTCATTGTTAATCAAATATTTACAGCTTACGCTGTTCACAGCCACTTTTGGCTTGTTGATGTATAATTATGATTTTTATTTTACGGTGTTATGCGATCCAGTATGTTGGTATATAAACCTACATGTGCTTCAGATATAATGCATGAGTAGGCTGGCAAACTCGGCTCAGAGAAGACGGTAGAGAAAAAGCGTGGGGATAACAGACCGATAGGAGTATCCCAAGTTTTGGCTCAAGGTTAACTTGGGCAGATTAGAACGTATAATTGGTCTGTTAAGAAACCTGAAGATCACTTTCATATGGTGCGTTTCTTAATAAGCAATGTGAAGGCTTCAAGTTACGTTCACTTTCAGACGAACAATTTAAGTGTCCTAATTTTGTATGTGAGTTGCAATCATCGTCAGACTCAGAATGCAGTCTGGTATTACAAATAAACGCTCGATCACTCATCCAATCTTAATTGCAAATATCTTCCTATCCTCATATGATGCACAGGCGGAGAGCACGACAGTGGGAACCACGTGGAACAATCCCGCACTCAACCTCACTCAAGGGCACATGATCAGCTGAATCAGTATTCAAATGGCCCCATATATCTACATAGAGAAAAGCTAGATTTAGAACTCAAAGAGAGCAGAACCAAGCGTTGCTTCTCTTAACGCCCAAGGACCCGGACATATTTTTCAGAAGAGAAAGGTGATATTGTGAGCCAATCATAAGTAGCCAAATGAGAAGTTCACTCGATGACAATCCGAAATGACCTAAAGAACGAATACATATCATTGGCTATGAAATGGGTTGACTTTCCAAGGGATAGAAATGTATTTATATAAATGAACTTTTTCGGTGGCTCAATAGGCTTTCTCTTCCACTTTTATCTTCTCACTCAAGTAGTCAGTTTGGGGGTCTAGCGCGTAACAGGTTGTGTGTTAGTGTCATAACTTGTGGCCTGTGTGCCCTGTTAATGCATAACGTAATGATACCGCCAATTAGAGAGCAGTGAATTATCGATCGGACCAATGACGCTTGAAACCCTGCGAGCAGTCTAGAGTACTTATCAGTCCTGATTCCGGCATAGTTCAACCAGTTAAGTCCAGAACACCAATCACAGCCTCTGCGATATGAATCATTTATTTCAAGCATACTGAGTTTATATACCAACCAGACAGACCACATCGTACCATAAAATGGAAAACAACATTTGTACAAGACTTAGCCAGATGTGGCTGTGAGTGTGGGAGGTAGTAATTAATAGACAGGGCATAATTCGAGAATGTAAATCGTATAATAATAGTTCATAGGTCAAAATAAAGCTCATAATAAGAGGGACATGAATATGAACAGTTTAGTTATTTAACAATTATACGATAAAAATATACGCATAGTATTGGACCATGAAAGGATCCCATTCATTATTCCTGTCGGGACATGACAGTATCAGATCTCGGACACCGCCCATCATATCACAATCATTTTTAACATTCTGAGTAGTGCATAAAAGTATTTTCACCGCTTATTATGTATGCTATTCAGATTCTTATTAAAACTCAAGAGTTAAGATAACGACGTTTGTTTCGTCTCTAAATTATAGTTTTTATCATTTTTGATATAAAAATCCTCATGATTGCTAACATTCGACATGTATTCAGTGAGCAAACAACGTTTTTTAGCAATGCCAATAGAATCATTACATTATTTAGTCATCGTTTGATACATCCAGTCGTTTTGCTATTCAGAGCTTGTTTAGTTTGTACAAAGCTTATGTTTATAGCAACTTATATCTACGTGTAATGTCGAACACTTCATTAGTCTGCTGCTACCCAAATAGATCGCAGGTCGAAAATAGTTTCCTGTTGACTGTCTCCGAATATCTAACAACTCAGAGATCATCCAGTATTTCTTTATGTACACATAAGCACTTCAGTTAGTCTACCAGTCTTTTTTGTTGGTCTTAATTGTAACTGGTTTCCTTGTATGTTTCATTGTCTTTAGATGTCTTTATGCTGTTGATACTTAACTTTTTTTCGAATGGATTGTTAGATCAGGTATAAATCTATGTGTATATTGATTGCTGACTCACCTAAATATCAAGCCTCAAGCTTTAGAGTTCCTACGATACAAACCTTCGGCGATCGCACATTAAAATTCATTTCCGTCGTTGTCCACAAGCATGGCTATCAGTGACAGTATATTGCGTCCTTTCAGAGAGAGTTAGTGGACGTATATCCGTAGTGTAAAAAGGAGTTCACTTTATCGAATGTAATGTTTGTCACAGTTGTACAATTTATTACTTGATGGCATTGAACTTGTCTTCTTTCGCTTTTGTGCTTTTTGCTCTACATAAGATAGAGTGGGAAGATTATACTGGTTTCTAAGAAATTTTGATTCCAAAACTTCTTAAGATCCTCCTGGTAATTTCGGAGATTTCTTTACATGTACAGTAGGATTATCCTTATACTAAATCTGAGGTTGATTTTGTAATGGTGTGTTGAGCTGTTGGATATTCTCCCGTGAATTAAGCAATGGAATAATCCAGTCTGTTGATATCGAATTAGGGCGTCTACTGCGTGTTTCATCCGGTTCAGCAACACTCTGTTAAAGACTTTCCCTGCTATTGACAGTAGTGTAATGCCTCTGTAGTCTTCACATTTGCTCACATCCCTTTCTTTGGAATCTTGATGAAGTGTCCTTCTTTCCAGTCCATCAGCAGTTTTTCCGCCTCCCAAATCTTTTTCAATAGAAGGTATAGCATGTTTGTGGTTACTTAGATGTCTGACTTCAGTGCTTCAGCTGGTATGTTGTCGGGTCCTGCTGCTTTCCCGCTCTTGACTTGTCTGATAACCATCCTGAATGTTTGTGTGTGCTGCTTCTATGTCCGGTGGATTCAATGGAGCTGGTCTATTCAAAAGTTCTCACCATTATTTATGTGTTCAAATAAAAAGAGTTCTTACTATCTACCGGATGTAAAACTTTTGATCAGATATAAACATGAACATACATAAAGGCAACACAGTTATATCTATCCAAATATCTTATTTCTTATATATTGATTTTTATGTCATAAACTTTCATGCATAACCTGGGTGCGTAAACATAATAAATGCTTCAAAAATAAAATATTCTTCACTGTGCTTAATGTCAAGAATATCGAGGATGATAGAATGGACACGAAGATTCCTATGATTTTCAAGTCAAAAATCGTTGGATTGGAATCGCGCGAGCGAAATCGTAGGTGTGCACTGCTGAGGAACTCCATAATAGCACGAAACGGCCGTCTTTGCTCCCAGGTTTTCAGTGGTGGTCGAACACCGATCAACTCATGATCTCAATCAAAAACTTAATAATCTCCACAACCCCATTATGATAATTACCATATGCTCACGAGTGACTAGCCTCGTGAGGGAATTCTCGTAGTGCGAGTGAGAAGCCGTTACCAGTGGAGCTAATCCGTGTTGGGGGGAGACAGAGACTTACTTCAGTACAGTGGAAGATGGTCGCGTATATTGGGGAGATCCAGAAAACTTCTCGCAAAAGACAAGAAAGGATCAGGAAAACACTAAGAAGCATCTACCTAATCAGCGTTCAATTGAAGTTTAGCCAAAAAAAACACCAAGAAAGTGAAAAGTCACATGTAAAGTTTCTGATTGGCTGTTTACTATACTGCTATGTTTAGTAGCATTCCAGAATCTTCGGGAAACCCAAGGATATCTAAAATACTCTATAAACCCTATATTTTCCGTCATAAAACGAACCTTTAGAGAAAAGTGCTTCTCGCATATTTTGCGCCTTTTCTTTCGTGTTCAGGTCGCTGTGTATTTCTAGCTTGTGAGTTACGAGAATAGCTTAGGAACCGAATACAGCGTTCAATTAGCAAGACTGATCAGCGCAATTCCGTGGATTGATTGAGGCCAGACATTGAAACCGTTGGATGCCAGACGAGTGGTTGTTTTATTTATTCCAGTCAGCCAAATTGGCCATGATCTACAAGGATCACAACGCCATCCATTTCCCCTTTAATTATACACTCAGTTGTAATTTATTTTTTTGTCAATGGGAAAGATGATGTGAAGAGAGAAACAATAAGCCTTAACAAACTGCGGAATCTATTTTCGGGAACGTTATTCCACTTAATTCAAAGCTTGTAAAACAGTAACATTTATTTTCGTTTTTGATTGAGACCATGAACCGATTGATATTAGATCACCGTTGGGAAACTGGACGGCCATTTCGTCCTTTTGTGAGACTCCTCAGCAGTGCGCATCCACTCGTATGAGTCGAACACAGGTTCTACAGTCTCGTACAATAACGCTTAATCTGCTGGACAAATGAGAAGCCATCCAATGGTATTAATGTCCGATCCTAACCACCGTTGTAAACATAGACCATTATGCAGGTCATAAGCTTTCGTTTGATTTATAATTCACTGCCATAGCTTTTTCTGTTCTAAAGCTATTGTAATTTAAACGTAATCTTTTGTACTCTATTTTCTACTCTAATCCCCGACCGTTGTTGCTACCTTGACGTGGTGGTCAGGCTTGCCTATCGTGATGAAGCAACCGAGCTATACTGGCTGGAACAACCGTTTATCAAGGTCCTACCACGTCAGAAAGGTCGGTTGAAGAGCGATAAGACTAAAAGCAACAAACCAAAGGTCCGAAGGCGAAGTCCTACTGCTGACTGTACAGAGGTGTGACAGCAGTAAGATGTTTCCTTCAGACAACCAGCATGACAACGATGCTGCCTTCTCACAAGGAGGGGTGGGGTTAGAAAGGTCGACCTTAAAAATGCACACCTCGCCTTATCCACGGATATCCGTCTCCGGCGGTAAGGTCTCAACAAGTACGGAGCTAACACAAAAACTACCCATAAAAAGGTCGTGTGTGACCGACCTCAAGCAGTTGTCCCTTGGCCACTGCGGTCACGCTCCCAGGTCACTAAGACCACCTCTAATCCAATTCCCTTTTTCGGTACCTCCAGAAGAACCCTTTCACGGTGTGTGCAACCGGGAAGTGATAACCACCCTCATACCTCTAACAGCACTCAAGACCACTGTATTCATAATCAACCTCCCTCTTTAATTCCTATTATTCCCCCTACATCGACTTCAAACTCTAAACTCCCGCTTTCGGCTTCTTCCTCAAGTGTCACTATAGCCAACGATTCTAGTGCGCAAAACACTCTCAGGTCTACTGAAACCTCACTCCAAACTACACATTTCAGCCTTCAACTCACACACACTATGTCAAATCGGTCAGCAGGCTTCCTTGGCTAAAACCCTAGAATCTCGTACCATTGATTTATGCTGTGTCTCCGAAACAGGACTGGCCTGCGTCAACACCTGAACTAAGGATAGGGAGTGAAGTAGTCGAACACGTCAACAACTTCACTTATCTAGGAAGTCTGATCAGCCCTAATAGGTTCCAGTCTGACGAAACCTCTGTACGGATTCAGAAAGCTCGTTTGGCTTTTGCCAACTAACGTCACCTTTGGCGAAGACGAGATATCCGTCTATCAATAAAAGGACGAGTATACTGTGCGGCATTCCGTTCTGTTTTTATTTACGGCTGCGAAACGTGACCATTAAGAGTAGAAAATACTCGTAAACTACTAGTACTTGACCACAGATGCCCTAGAAATATTGCTGGCGTCTGCTGAGATCACTGGGTAAGTAGTAGTGAGGTTAGACACAGGGTATTAGGGAATGATGGTAAATCAGTTGATGAAGTTGTGAATCTTCATCGACTGAGATGGTTGGTCCGCGTGTTACATATGCCTGAACACCGATTACCACGTCGTGCAATGCTAACAGGTGTTAGAGATGGTTGGAAGAGAATTAGGGGCGGCCAAACCAAAACGTGGCATTAGTGCTTGAAGACACTAACATCTAGTCTTAGCCATGTTGGTAGATGCAGACTACTTGGTTGGGGTCCACGTGACTTTCGTAACCAATGGTTGGAGACTCTTGGTGACATGGCTTAGAATCGACGACAATGGCGTAAGTGTATACACTCTGTCTTCCCTTAAACTAAGAGATTGAAATCGCTTCATATCTTCCTTTCTATGAACTAATTCTTTCTTCCCATACTATATCCTTATTGCAATCTTTCTTTTATATATTATCACCTGTGTATTAACTGCTTTTATGAATTCGGTGTCCATCTTGTTGTGTTAATGAGGTATGGCAACTTGGACCGATGCATATATGTGCCTAGTCCTACGTTTTAGCTGAGTGACTAACTGACTCTACTCTAATCCCTATCTCTGGACATGGTTGTATTTTCCCAATTGTTTGTGCGCTGTGGTCTGGTTAATTACCTATTTCTTCATGTATCTTTTTACACTAATCTAAAATCGGGAACCAGATCGGAATTAGGAATAAATCGAGTAGTGTTCCAGTTGACTTTCCTTCTCTAACTCGCGTGCTTGTCAACCAAGCAGGTGAAAGGACAGTTTTCGTCTGTCTATCTCAAGCAGCTGGTCTCACCTCGAACTCACACATGCTAGCCTCAAGGTTAATCCAGTCAGCCTACCGCGTCAAGGTGTTAATCTAGAATACGCAAGTTATCCTCTGCACAAAAGTGGGTAGACAGATCAAGGACGTAACATCCTAATAACTACCGCTTCTAAACAATTAGGATCAGTTCTATTTTGACTGAATGCGTTAGAATAATATTAATGATACAGAGCAAGATGAATCAGTGGATGAATTTATTGATTTTAATTAGTATAATCTAACCTATGTATCAGACAGGAACCTGACAAAATTGTGAATCAATCAAATCACTATATAGTAAAACACACTGTCGTCTCCCACAAACGATCATAATATAGAGAAATTACTTCCCGATGGACAGCTTAATAGTAACACATCAGAGCAGAATATTTCTTATGAAAATAAAAAAACTCACACAAATTAAAATACATTTTACCAAATAACGATATTATGAGTCTAGGATTATTTTTATTCACTTGAAGTTGATCGATCACTAATTTTCTGGGTGTTTAAAGCTTGACTTTTACCTGACAATCCTGTTAATTTCGGGGTTTCTGATAGTTCACTCTGACTATTGACGAATAGTTGAGTTTCTTCTGAAATACTTTCCTCTATGTTATTATGAGAGCTTTGCGCCGTCATAATGATTATTTTTAATGGAATGGCTCGTATCACTATTATCATTACCACAACTATAAATATATATACTATTAGTAGTGGTGGTAGTGGTACTATCATTGCTACATATCCAATTCACGTAATCATGATTCACATCAAATCTCAATGTGATATGATCAATTAAAATTGTTGCGAAATCCTTCAGCTCCACTTCTTCGTCTAGAAAAAGAGAACAAAACAAGTTAAAAAACAAAATAAACCATGGAATAATTAGTCGATAGGTTTATTAATTATTGAAAATATGACGGAATAGTTGATGTCTGAAAATCAATATGCAATCAGAATCTTTGTAATCCTGGCTCTGCCCATCAGTATCATTTTGCAGATTACAGAATTTTCGTTACTACAGGCTGACATAAAATAATTAATACCACAGTTAGGGAACGATTGTAAATCAACGCTTTTTGAATGTGGTGCACAATTTCATCTACGAATAAGGAAAATGACGATTTAAAAGTGCACAACCATACACTAAACCTTGACAACGTTAACTAAACTAAACAAACAGACAGGAGCAAATATTTATTTTATTCATTGAGATAAAAGAAAATTCCATCATAATGTCGCGGGACTGATTATATTTGGAAAAGAGAAAAATTTTTACTCAATTCATTGATACCATTGACGATATGACTGAGTGGTTAAATTGTAGAATTGTTTCTCGCCTACAATTATGTATCCTTTTCTTTTAGATCACATTTCTATAATACCGCATAAGATCAGAGTTTGGGTCTTACAATCATAGTCTGAACAAACAAACGTATCTTTAATATATTATACCTTCATAGCGTGTAAATTTGCTATGTTTGAAGCGGTAACGAGTTCACTTAGACTGCGAACGGAAAAAAGACTTGCGACCAAAGACCATTAAACTAGCTATTCTATTGCGTCCCAGCTCCGCTTACTAGAGAGAGAAGTCAAAGTCCGAACGAGGAAGTCTATTCCCCAAAAAGCCAGAAGCAGGAGCGATCACAACAGACGCAAATCAAAATGTATATATCAATACAGAACAAAACGGTCCTTGGGAAGCGTTACAAGTTAGCATACTAAGAGATACAACGGATCAATAGCGTTTAAGATTCTCCCAAGTGGAAAATACGACATGAAGGTGAAAAGAGCGCTTTTGGCGCGAAAACAAACAAATTCAAATTTTCAAAATAAAAGTACAAAATTAGGACCTTTTACAAGTGAGTTCTGTAGATCTAACGTCCGCAATAAAAATTAAAGTAATGCCAGTAAAAGAATAGGAAAAAAATATAATCAGCTACTTCAGTCAGTCAGTAACAACGTAGAACTTCGTACGTACGTACATCAGTTCGAGTTGCCACACCACATTAGCACAGAGATGCAGTGGTCGATTCAAATCCCCTAGTGCTAGATGTAGTAAAATTGTAAGCTGTAATCAGAAAAATTAGGGTTTGAAGATGTTATTCAAGGAGTATAATCCAGTGAAATAAATTTGGAAAGAGAAAAAAGAAAGGGACATGAAGAATTCAGAAGATTAGAATTTGGGAGAACACAAAGAGTGGATGCACCTGCGCCATTGCAAACGATTTTGAGCCATGTCATTCAGGGTCTCTAACCATCGGTTGCTATCATCTCGCGGTCCCCAACCAGGTAGTCTACACCTACCAACATGACTCAGTCCACTTGTCAGTGACTTCATGGACTTGTGCCATGTTTTGGTCTGGCCGCCCCTAGCTTTCTTCCAACCTACTCCTATACCACTGAACATCGCACGTCGAGGCAGTCGGTCGTTGGGCATACGTAACACGTGTCCCAGCCATCTCAACTGATGAAGTTTCACTACGTCATCAATTGATTTGCCATCCTTACCTAGTACCCGTTTCCTAACAACTGTTACTTACTCGATGGTCCCATGATATACGAGCAATATTTCGAAGACACCTATGATCAAATACTAGTAACCTACGAATATCCTCTACTCTTACCGGCCATGTTTCACTGCCATAAAGTAGGACGGAACGAACTGCTGCGCAGTAAACCGTCCTTTGGTTGATAGACGGATATCTCGCCTACGCCATAAATGACGCAAGTTGGCAAAAGCTAGTCGAGCCTTCTGTATCCGTGCTGAGATTTCGTCACACACCAGACCACAAGGGCTGATGAGACTTCCAAGATAAGTGAAGCGGTCGACACACTCAACTACTTCACTCCCTATCATTAGTTCGGGTGTCGATGCAACCCAATCCTGAAGCAACATTTTGCATTTCGAGGGGAGAATCGCATCCCGAACATGCTTGCATTGTTGCTTAGAGTGGTCAGAAGACTCTGCATTTTGTCAGCGTCTTCACCAAATAAAACTATGTCATCAGCATATTCTAAGTCAACAAGTGAACCTCCCGGTAGAAGTTCAACCCCTGGAAATTTAGATGAGGAGAGTGTTATCTCTAAAAGTACGTCAATGACAAAGTTGAACAAGAATGGGGAGAGTGGACAGCCCTGACGAACACCACTTGAGGTAATCAATTCTGATGACAGTTCGCCATAAGCTCTCACTCGACCAGTTGTGTTCGAGTAGAGAGCCTTTATAAGGTTAATGTACTTCTTTGGTACTCCTTTCAGTGACAAACACTGCCATAGAACCTCACGATCAACAGAGTCGAATGCCGCCTTAAGGTCGAGAAATACTACCATTGTGGGGCGTCTGAATGTGTGTCTGTGTTCTAGAACCTGACGTAGTGTGAATATCTGATCTATACAACCACGTCCAGGTCGAAAACCAGCCTGGTTTTCTCTAGTCTGCTCTTCACGAGCTTTGTTAGGCGTCGAAGTATTATTGAAGCTAATATTTTAGACACTATATTAGTCAAACTGATTCCTCTGTGATTGTCACAAGAGGACTTTTGTCCTTTCTTATAGACTGGCACAATCAGTGATTGAGACCAGTCAGATGGGATTACGTCCAGTTCCCAAATTCTACCTAAGACCTCAGTTAATCTCATTGCTAATACTGGACCACCATCCTTAAAAATCTCAGGAGTAAACCTGTCAGGGCCTGCTGCTCTCCCTCGTTTCAGATTTCCTATGGCTTTTTCAACTTCGTAAAGAGACGGAGGACCTACATTAACTTGCCATTCAGGTTGACTGGAGATCGTGGGAAACCGAAGTGTGGCTGAAGGCCAGTTGAACTGATCCCTAAAGTGTTCTGCCCATCGATCCAATCTCCTGGATTGAGAATGTATAATATGTCCATCTTTCTCTGAGATTGTTTCGCTAACAGTCGGTTTCCTTAACAAGTCTGAACAATTGTCTGCTATTACCTATTGCCGCTGCCTTTTCCATCTCTCTTGCTTTCGCTACCCACCACTGTTCACGATCATTGCGTAGACTTCTTGTCAGCTTGCGCTTAAGCTGACTCCGCTCTTCATTATGTTCAGAGCCAGGTGGAATGAGTTTCCGAGCATCTATCAGTGAGATAGATGCTGCTGAGATCCAGTGTTGCTCCCTAACCTTACGGTTTACCTTACTAGCAGATATCACTGCTGTTTCCACAGCTTTTCGGATATCATTCCATGCTGCCTCGGGGTGGGCATCACATACATGGCTGCCTAACTGTTTTCCTAGTTGTTCCTGAAATATACTCTTAGCTTGACTATCATTAAGTAGGGCCCTAAGAGGTTTCCTTGCAGCGTCTTTCCTACGTCCAGTAAGACGCAGGCAGATACGCGCTCGCACTAGAGCATGATCTGAATCTAAGCATGTGCTCCAGAATGAGCGACAGTCTTCTATCGAGCCCCTCCATCGGTGGCTGATAGCGATGTGATCTATTTGGGTCCAACGTTGGGACGAATTAGGGGGTCGCCATGTTAAAAGATGTTTTTCCTTATGCTTAAAGTTAGTATTTGCAAGGAACAGGCGGTTATCTGAGCATAGCTGCAACAGACGGTCGCCATTATCTGTTCTTTGAACCACGATGCTATAAGATCCACCCAGGTGTCTTTCCCTCACCATGAACCCCAGTTCTTGCGTGCTAACGCGAAACCTCTAGACGAATCACCCGGCATCCAACGGTGATCAACATAAGAAATGTTCATGACATAAGTTGTTAAGATCCTACAATCTCCTCAAATCCAGAATAGAGAAAATGGGGATTGTAATGTTGTTGCGAAGTGAACAAAGAATTAGTCGGGATAACCAATTTATTGTTTAACGTGAAATCACACAATGGCAAAGTAAAATATGAAAAGCATACATTAAACACATTATTTGCGCATCTTCTTTTAGTTGTCCTTTACATGCTTCATGATTCTTAAAATCCTATTGTCTTTAAAATTGCTCTTTAATTACTCTCCTGTTCTCTTCAACGTAATCTTCTGATACCAGGCATTACAGTTCCGATTTGTGTAACATACTACATACATCCGTCAACATAAGTAGCATAAACCGCAGTATATGTCGTGATAGTAATAATCTTCTATCAGATATATGCCAAGTCCTAAGTGATCTACCGAATTGTATATAATTACGCTTCCCTTGTATAACTGAAGCAATTGAGATCAGTTCAAATAAACTCACCTGATGTACAAAAAAGACCTTACTTTGACTAACAACAAGGTCATTCGACCTTTTCCTCCTACATAATGATATGCACTATATTTCAAGACGTTTTTCTCATCCCCAACTATACATTGATCATCCATATTAATACACGTTTCAAGTTGTCATAACCCATTAGCATAGTGAGATGACATTTTCAGGGGAAATCCCAAAGTAGTGTAGTTAGTAAAAATATTAGTGGTATTAGAAAAGATAAAGTATCGGAGATACGGCTCAAGAAAAAATAAATTAGTGAGAAGTAAAGATTTACAAGGAATTTATAAACTAAGGATCAAAGTAAAGACAAAGAATAGATGCAGCTGGACCACTAAGAACGAATTTTAGCCATGTAATCCAGACCACCCATTGGTTACGATAACCACACGGACTTCAACAAGACAATCTGCATGTGCCTACATGACTCAATCTATTTGTCAATGACATCATGTACTGGTGCTATGTCATTGTGTGGTGTGTGCTACTTATATTGACATAAGTAGTATATGATGTTAGTCGTGAACAGATGGTCTGACATCATAGAGACAAGAGGAACGAACAGTAAAGAATGGAAACAAAATGCGACTTGTATGAAAATGCAAGGACAATGAAGTCTGAGTCATTTTGAGACAATCGATGGACATTATCCAAATTAAACATTTACTTAATGATTGTTAGATTTTATCAAGTTCTGTAATTTTGTCCCAAACCTTGTTCTGTTCACTAGATCCGTTTCGCCTCCCCTAGCATTCTTCCAATCTAATCCTACACCAGCTGTTTTTTGTGTGTTGAGGCAGCCGGTAGACAGCCATGAGTTATATATATCCTAGCCCCAAGCACTCACTACCCCGTCAGTCGACCTGACATACTTACTGTGTACTGTGAGTCTAAGCTTAGAATCGCTAAATCTAAAGTCCTAAATTATACGAGTATTACTTTAAAAACACCTATGATTGGGTACTAATATCCTACAAATATCCTCTATTCTTAATCACCATGTTTCACACTCATAAAGTAGGACTGAGCAAAATGCTGAGTAATGAAGTCGCCCATCATTTGAGAAGTGGATAATCTCGCCTATGCCACAGGAGACCGAAGTTGAAAAAAGTCAACGGATTTTCTGAATTCGTGCCAAGATTTTGTCAAACACCAGATTATCAGGACTCAAGTTAAGTTAGGTGCTTGATACTTTCAACTACTTCCCTTCCTATCATTAATTCGCGTGCTGACAGTGAAGTAACACTTTGTGTTTAGAGGGAGAGAATCGCATCCCAAACAAGTCCGCATTATTTCTCATTGTGATCAGACGAATTTTATCTTGTCAGAGTCTTCACCGACGTTTTAAATTGCCTATTAATTCTAATTCTTCGACTTGAGTGACTGTTTCCTCCTATTTTCATTGTCCTTGAGAAACAAGTATGATTACTGGTAGGTTACAGATAGTTTACGTGACGAGAGAACATTGATACAAAGTTGTGATTGATGAGTCACTCAGATGAAGAGAAAATAACGGTACATGAACTATCATCATTATCAATATGAAGAAGTTAGTTTTATGGTGTAGTACACTTGACAATCACTTTTACTTTTATAAATGTGACAATGAATTACATCTCTCCTAGAAAATAAACGGAAAAGATGGCTCGTTAAGTACAAATGTGAACTAAAAATGCTCCTCTCTCTTTATATAGTGAATACATTTCTTGAGTTGCACACTAATTTGTTAACGTTTGTTTTCCCAAGTCTCTGACCTATTTCCTATGTTGAAACACTAACTCAAGTATTAGTTCTAACACTACCTTACGATCCGTATTTGTATTTCTTAATGACTACGTTTGGTTACGCAACGTGTGTCGTAGCTACCATCTATCCGTAAACTGCTGTGATCAATTTAATGCTCTTCATTTATGCCCATAAAAATATTTTTATATATGGTGTATGGCTAGTGGAAGTAAGATATGATTGGTCACTGAGCGCAGGCAAACAGATACTCGGGTTACACTTGGTGATTTTCCTTCCTATTAATGATTTCTACTCTGAACTCAATAAGTGTAGACCGCTTTGTAATTGTGTTGAATAAAATATTGTCTAATCTATGCTCTGGTTCTCTTATTTTGGTTGTGAATCATGTATCTGGTAAAACGTGGTTCAATCTGTTTTGTATCATATGGATCTAGTATCCAATATAGTATTAGCAAAACCTTGATCGCCAGACGTACTATCGTTTATATCGTGAAGACAAAATATTTCTTTTTTATTATTATATCGGTATATATGAGAGTAAAACCTGACGAAGAACTCATTTGAAAACAATATTGCCCTCCTATTCATGTTCTAATGACAATTTTTAACGCCAGAATCACAATCTGTCTATACACACGCATAATAAATTCATAAATACAGAAAGTGAAAAGAAAAACATTATTACCGTCAAGTACTCACCTGTCAGTATCGGGTTACCATCAACATAAACAGTATGAGATGAAAAATTAGTTAACCAAAATATACCATCTTTACTTAAGCGTATTTGACCATGACAACGTGATATACGTCCACTGTCAATACCTTCCATTGATAAATCGATATGCGGTTGATAGACGAATGAATTACGACCAAATATGACCTAAAAAATATCAGCAAAGAAAGAAGGAAGAGTGTGATAAATTTCTTTTTTAAATGATGGGGAAAATTTGTAGCTCATGTGGAAGTAGTCTTCTCTATATGAATAAAACTAAAGAAAAATTTTGAGAGTATGACCATAAATATCAAAGAAATAGTGATTGATATTAGGGTAGTCGATTTATGTGTTCGATATGTCCAGGTTCATTGAATTTTGACAAGCAGGTACTAACACTAGCTTTTAAGTAAAGTAAACAGTATAGTCGGAAGCCGAGTATACATATAATCAACATAAAATATGATACAGATGTTCATTCGCCCGAACTGACATTACCTGAATAGCACCACAAAATAAAAACAGCAAATTAGATCGAAATAATCTAGTAGCAAAAATTAGAAGACTAAGTCTTAAGAGTAAGGTTCGAAAAGCCGGAATGGAAAAGTATACATGGATAGAAATCGGAATTCAAGACTGAGAGGAAGATAACATATGGATGTACTGTTCTGTCGTGTACTATTGTTCAGTTTGACTCCCTCAAGTTATTATTAATTAATTACGATTAGTCAGCCCCAACAGTAACGATTTGATTTTATATAACAAACAACAATTCTTAATTCACATATTACAATTTCCAAATGATGTACTCGGCCTTAAATCTGGCCAATTTTATGGATTATAATTTGGATTTATAATTGTAGAACCTGATGAGAAATTATTGAAAAGAATATCCTTCGTTCATACAATTGTGTTTTTAATATAATGGGAATTTTCCGAAGGTAATTACGAATCGATTACGTATTCTCTTTTCCACGTATAATATAGTTTCGTTCGTACTATAATTTCTTATTTATGCTGATGCGCTGTCAGATAACTAATCTATATTATCACATGAATTCTGAGTCATGAACTGAATTGTGTGGTACTGCAGAGGTTTTTCTACCTGTTGTGTTGTTCTGTTCTGGTCTTTGAGTAGGTGAGTGTGGGAAACTGTTTCCTGGGTTAATCGGTGTTAAGTATGTACTTCAGCCGCCATCTCAATATCATTGAGTTACTGGTCAGAAAAAGTAAGTAAGTAAGTCTAACATTCAACCTAGGCGAATAAATCAATAATCGAACTATATAACATATAACTACTCCTATAATAGCGGCCCTACCACATGGGCATCGATATAACACAAAAATGGGGCTTTTTGATATCACATCACAGAGTGAGAAAAATACATCAAAAACCTTTTTTTCTTTTATCAAAAATTGTGTTCTTGATCCCGTAAGAGATGCTAATGCTGGATAAATTGGTTGTGGATTCATTATTTCTAGACCATTAGTTACAAACATTTCAACTAGACGTGTCCAACGTCTAGCCTCTTCTTTATTTCGACGTAAACGTGCCCACAAACGTCCGCGACGTCGATGTAATTCTAATCGACGCTAGAATAGAACAAAAATTATTATCCAATGAATTATCAATTTCATCTTGGCTGGAATTATGAATATACATCGAAATATGAAGACAAAATCTATTCACAAATGATTGATCACTGGTGGTGGTTGCAGGTAGTCAACGGAAGACCCTGGATCAGGGTCTCGTGCTATTTGACACTCGTCAGCAAGGTGTACCTGTAATCTTGAGGAGACTGGCTCTCCCTGACGGATTCCATCCTGTGTCACCCAGCTTCACAGTCAGAGACGTTACCACTGGGCTATCCAGGCCGCGAGCGACCACCTGTAGGGCTGAGATGTATCCACAATAAATTGATCACTGAGTGGTGATCAATGTCATATGTGTCAGGTTCTTTTTAGTGCAGATCGAATACTATCGACCAAGTCGCAATGTAGCCACTAGTCTAGGTGACTCGACATCCGTCATGGAGAACCAGTCCCCTCAAGATTACAGGCACACCTTGCTGATGAGTGCCAAATAGCACAAAATCTGGGTCCAGGGTCTCCTGTTGACTACATCCAACCACCACCTTATCTCAGACAAAATCTATTTATAGGACAGGTATTAGTAACCTGCTTATGCAAATGGAAGATGGTCGTACAATATTGTGAATCGATTGAAGGAATGGATATAAAATACTGGATCGTGACTCAGTGGTTTAAAGGTTAAGCGCTTGCTATATTTTAATCAGCATAGAAATAAAGCATAGTTTGTCAAATCATTTCTTATAGATAGCAATCAATTATACTTGAGAGTTCGATTAAGTCACGTTTCTATCGCTTGACAAACCTCTAGCGCTGAGGAAGAAGACTATGATTGAATGAGAAGTTTTATTATTGAAAGCCTAATAATAATTTCTACAACTCCAAAGACGGCTTTCTCTTGAAATATTAGAGGTCAGCTTAAACATATACAGACAATTTTGAATCTATCTTTAATTTTGTCTAGAACACTGGCGTGTTGCCCACTGTTACACATTACTAACAGGACTACCTCCACACGTAAGACCAAGCACTCTTGGGTTCCCACCCTTTAGACCAATGCGGAAGGTTTAGAGATAAGGATATTAATGAGAAGATAGAATTTGTACTAAAGAAGTTGTGTCTGTTTGAAGGCAAACCACATAGCAAGAAACTGTCGAGCACCGAGGTCATGTGCCGTCGAAGGATGTGGCTGGAGACACCATACCTTGTTACACAGGAAGCCGGAAGAGCAGAGAGATAGTAATAGTATTGTCCACATCAATACCGAACTCTGTACTAAGGAAATTGTTAAGCGTGTACAAAGACAAGTAGCAGAAAAGAAAATTGTTGACGTTAAACCCAAGGTTGCTAAACCGAAAACTATAATGCCTTCTGCTGTTAAACCCAAATCAACTCCAAAAAGCCTAATGAAAAGGTCACCGAACCGAAAGTCAAGACACCGAAGAAGCCAGTAACTAAGACCCTGAAGAAGCAGCAGCACATATTCACCGTGATATCGTACATGATGTTGAGAAAGGCGCCTTTGTACGAGTTGATAATAAGAGTAAGGGTGCATCTGGTAGCTTTAAACGAGCTAATGCTAGTCTTAGATTATGTATAGTTGGGACCAAAATAAGATTGCAAATTCCCTTTCAGAAAGAGGTTGTGGATGGCATTTTAACATTCCTAGAGCTAGTCATTGAGGCAGTGTATATGAATGCATAATAAAGTCGATAAGAAGGATTCAACGATCGCTACTGTTTCAGAAGGTATTGACGGACGAGACTTTGGAGACGTTTTTAATAGAGGCTGAAGGAATACTGAGCAATCAACCACTCGTAAAGCTAGTTAATGACTGTGATAACCTGGATATACTCGCATCAAATAAGTTATTGTTAGTTCATAGAGCGGTATCATTCGATGAAGCGCAGATGAGTAAAACGTGCTTACATAACAGATGGAAGGAAGCACAACAACTAGCCAACCTATTCTGGAACGGATGGTTACAAGAGTATCTACCAGCCCTTCATGCAACATGAGAAGAAATCTACAACCTGGAGATTTAGTGTCAATAAACAATACTGGCTCGCAGAGAAATCTGTGGCTGAAAGCTATAGTTAGACAGGTCAATTATGGTCCAGATGGACGAGTCAGAACAGTTTGGCTGAAGACAGCAAACGAAGAGATCAGCAGGGATATACGGAACCTGTGCCTATTGGAATAGGCCGATTATTTGAGCGCGGCAGTAGCGAAGTCAAGTCATTGTTTAAGCTCCCACTACGTCAATCCGGTCTGATGTGTCTGTCGACTATCCCTGTTGCATTTGACCTGCAAATTGAAGGATATTATTATTATATTATATTACTGTGACTCATAATTTTTTACTCATTTCGATAAAAAAATCAGTACTGGTCGGTATGGTTGTGCGTTCCACTTGATGACTATAATTCCTTTAATTATTGTACTAATCTAATTGTTTTTATGTTTAGAAATAAAGTTGAAAGTCAAGTTGTCCTTGTTCTGACTACAGCTTTCACATAGACTCTGGGATCGCCAGTATCGCGTTTACAGTTCTAGAAGTATATCTGTAGGAAAAATTATATCCTACAACAGATACTCCTCGGATGATTATATACCATGTCACCCAGCTCCACAGTCAAAAGAGACGTTATCACTGAACTATTTGGGATGAGACTGACGTTCTGTAGGATTGAGAAGTGGTTAGAATTATTTAATCACTGAGCAGTGACCGATATCGTGTATACTAAGTCCAAAGAACGAAATGACAAAAGAAAAATCGAATATCATCTACAATATAAATTGTCCCAACTGCGAGGAACACTACATCGGACAAAGTAAATGGCCACTTCACCTTTGCCTGCACGAACACGGATTAGTGGTCAAACGCTATGAAGTATTCTCGCTTATATCAATGCATGAGGGCAACTGTGGACACACATCCGACCAGAAAAATCCTGAGATCTTGGATAGAAGAAATTCTAAAAACACCAGAGAATTTTCCAAAGCTTGGCACTCAGGTCAATCAGCAATTAATAAACAAATTAAAATCGATACAATCTATCAACCAATCAGAAAAACCATGGATAAATATAGGACCGAGGATCAAATCAACGGAAAATATAATCAAAACAAATAAGTACACAATGACAGGTTAAAAGTCAACAATAGCCAATCAAGATAGAAGTCTACAGGACAAACTGCGTCGTATGTTGAGAAGTTCGAACACTTCACTTCTGTTTGAAGTTTGTGCTGATGATGTTGTTCAGAAGAACGATGAAAACTCCACGACCAAACCAAATAGCTCAGAGAACAAAACTCCATCAAAAGTCCGTCTTAGCGTTGATCTAACTCTATTGACCAGCCAATACTTCTCAGTCATAGTCCAGATTGTTTGATGGCGACGTCTCTTCTGACTGTCATATGATCCAATACTCTGACGAGCATAAATTCCCTTAAGGCTGCAGACACACCTTATCGACGAGTGTTAAGAAGTACGAATCCTAGGTCGAGCAGGATTTTTTGTCGACTACCTCCAAACACCATCTGACGTTTCAATATAGTGCATGGGACATCAAGTCGCCGAAAATAGTGTCCAGAATGTAGCTTGGTCGATAGAATCCAATCAGTACTAAGAAAGATTTGACATACAAGACAATGGTCACTACTACTCAGTGATTAATTAATTGTAAAGATGATGCCTCTACTAACTGTTTGATAGTTTTCATACATATTCAGTGGGAATTCAACGTTAATGTTACGTTTTTTATCAGAGCCAGACAATCTCCTCGTGTGAACAATGGTGATGAGGACTACTGAAAGCTGCTGTGAATCCTTAGCTCAGAGAAATCACTGTTGATAACCTCAAACTTTTAATCTTCTACATTATGTCGTCCTTCAATTACCAATAAACAATCTCTTGAAATATATAAACAACAACGATGTGCAACAATACAATAACAGTATTAAATATTACGTGTAACAAAACTGATGTGGAAGAGAATCATAATGATTGGTTATTTACTTAATCAGACCTGTAGATGGTCTGACAGGCGTTAGATGAGTTATGTATTCTCCTACCCATATCATTACTGTGATTGTTGTCCGTTTTTGGTGAAGAAATGTACTTACGTTCTAGTCAGATTAGTCACGTGTTAGTATTCTGAGTTGTGTTGAATTCCTGTAGAATAGACACTCGGAGGGTATCTAGTATAGATATCCGTTTAAGGCAAATTAGTGTCCTAATTGACGAGGAAAACTGAATATTATAACAAAAGCCTTTAAAAAAACATATTCACATGTTACTATCAGGTGACTTTCTGGTGAGACTATTATTTATGGACAACTGTTGAGCGACTCTAAAGTGAGCTTGAAAACGTCCACCAATTTACTAGAGCTAAATGAGGATTAGAAACTTGTGTGAAGGAAAACAATTATGATTTACAGTTAATAGTTATGGTTAGGAATTAGATTAAGGGTTTTCATCACGAACCAACATCAGCTACAAATGGCAAAACGCTACCTAACCAAATGGATGAATGAATTTAACGCCAAAATCTAAAACGCGTTATACTAAATATGATTTGTTCATTCACAAATTATCTCGACCGTTGCTGCTACCTTGACGTGGTGGTCAGGCTTGCCTATCGTGATGAAGCAACCGAGCTATACTGGCTGGAACAACCGTTTATCAAGGTCCTACCACGTCAGAAAGGTCGGTTGAAGAGCGATAAGACTAAAAGCAACAAACCAAAGGTCCGAAGGCGAAGTCCTACTGCTGACTGTACAGAGGTGTGACAGCAGTAAGATGTTTCCTTCAGACAACCAGCATGACAACGATGCTGCCTTCTCACAAGGAGGGGTGGGGTTAGAAAGGTCGACCTTAAAAATGCACACCTCGCCTTATCCACGGATATCCGTCTCCGGCGGTAAGGTCTCAACAAGTACGGAGCTAACACAAAAACTACCCATAAAAAGGTCGTGTGTGACCGACCTCAAGCAGTTGTCCCTTGGCCACTGCGGTCACGCTCCCAGGTCACTAAGACCACCTCTAATCCAATTCCCTTTTTCGGTACCTCCAGAAGAACCCTTTCACGGTGTGTGCAACCGGGAAGTGATAACCACCCTCATACCTCTAACAGCACTCAAGACCACTGTATTCATAATCAACCTCCCTCTTTAATTCCTATTATTCCCCCTACATCGACTTCAAACTCTAAACTCCCGCTTTCGGCTTCTTCCTCAAGTGTCACTATAGCCAACGATTCTAGTGCGCAAAACACTCTCAGGTCTACTGAAACCTCACTCCAAACTACACATTTCAGCCTTCAACTCACACACACTATGTCAAATCGGTCAGCAGGCTTCCTTGGCTAAAACCCTAGAATCTCGTACCATTGATTTATGCTGTGTCTCCGAAACAGGACTGGCCTGCGTCAACACCTGAACTAAGGATAGGGAGTAAAGTAGTCGAACACGTCAACAACTTCACTTATCTAGGAAGTCTGATCAGCCCTAATAGGTTCCAGTCTGACGAAACCTCTGTACGGATTCAGAAAGCTCGTTTGGCTTTTGCCAACTAACGTCACCTTTGGCGAAGACGAGATATCCGTCTATCAATAAAAGGACGAGTATACTGTGCGGCATTCCGTTCTGTTTTTATTTACGGCTGCGAAACGTGACCATTAAGAGTAGAAAATACTCGTAAACTACTAGTACTTGACCACAGATGCCCTAGAAATATTGCTGGCGTCTGCTGAGATCACTGGGTAAGTAGTAGTGAGGTTAGACACAGGGTATTAGGGAATGATGGTAAATCAGTTGATGAAGTTGTGAATCTTCATCGACTGAGATGGTTGGTCCGCGTGTTACATATGCCTGAACACCGATTACCACGTCGTGCAATGCTAACAGGTGTTAGAGATGGTTGGAAGAGAATTAGGGGCGGCCAAACCAAAACGTGGCATTAGTGCTTGAAGACACTAACATCTAGTCTTAGCCATGTTGGTAGATGCAGACTACTTGGTTGGGGTCCGCGTGACTTTCGTAACCAATGGTTGGAGACTCTTGGTAACATGGCTCAGAACCGATCACAATGGCGTCTTTAGTTAAATCGTGAGAATGAAATTAATTTATACCTTTCTGCGAACTAATTCTTTCTTCCTGTATTATATCCTTATGCACAATCTTTATTTTATATATTACTAGCATTGAAGTAACTACCTCTATGAGTTTGGTGTCCGTCTTGTTGTGATAATGAGGTGTGGCAACTTGGACTGATCCATATATGTGCCTGGTTCTACGTTGTAACTGATTGACTGACTGACCATAAATTATAGACTCGCCTCTTGTTTTTTAACAATTAACACGAGTTGGTCAATTACTTTCGTTTATGAAGTCTATTGTAAAACGTTTAGTTTATCATATGGTTTGTGTACTTTGGTTTAAATTGATAATATTACATAGGTAACTAGTGTTTGTGAAATCGTAAGTTTCTTGGTTCAATGATAGATTCCTACAGTATCGTGTCAATCTTATTCGACTAAAAAAATCTACCAAAATACGTAGTCGTATTTTTCTGCGAAAATTAACTCCATACATTCTCACCTATAGAAATTCGATTGAATGAACAGACGATTTAAGGATGTTAGCGGGACATAGACTGGATTAAAGCATGCTCAATGCACGACTGCTTTGGTGCACGCTGATTGGTTGATTCTTATCCAGTCAGCACTAGTCGATACTTGGAGAATACTCTAGAATCTTTTCATGTAAAAACTATAAATATACTAACGTTTTCCCTATTGTGCTTCTTACTTCCACCTAACTTTGTTATTTGGAATATAATCTCTTTCCTGTTCAACCGTGTTCTGATTTGGGGACTCGTCGAGTGAATCGGTGTACGAGAATACTAAGCAATAGGAATAGCTGGGTCATAACCTGTAAGAGAAATATAACAAAGGACGATAACAATCGACGTTTTTTCGTCAACTATTGAACTGGACTAGTAGGTCGAGGTTATTCGCAACTTAGTATCCACAAGGAAGGAAAAGAAATAGAGTAAAAAACACATGGCTGCGATACTTTAACGTGGACATTAGGACCATGAATGGCACCTAACACTAACTGGGAAAGAGAGCCCAAGATAAAGTTGATTGGAACAAAATTAGTTGACGTTGTCAAAACAATAAGTTAGGTGTAACAGTAATCAAAACTGTGAGCAAATGATTGAAAAATAGCTGACTACGCCTATTATAATAAACCATAGTTTTGAAGAATAGATTTCTACTTCCTCACTTACAGCAACAACACAACTACTCAATAATTAGAGTAGAAAAATACTTACTTTAAAATCAAATTCTTGATTACTTAGTAATGGCGGTACAGGTGATGAACTTATAAAGGACAATAAATGTGATTTATTAGTTGTTTCTTGTATTAGTAGTGAGTGACTCTGATCATGGTCAATTGACGATTTCAACTCTAGACCTGTTGCTATTGCTCCACGTGTACTGGACGTTGTTGTTGTTGTTGAAGAAGAAGCGGCAGAAGTCGGAGAAGAGTGATGCTGTAGACTAGGATGTACAAGTGAATCATTTAAGTGACTAGAATATTCTTTAAAGAGTACTTCCAAGACTGTTTGTGTAACAAGACCTTGGAAACCATGATATGATGTTTGATTTAGCATATGTTGTCTACGTGATACTGTCGATGGTTCAGTTAATTTAGGGATTCCTGCAACGACTGCATTGGTTACTGTCTCTTCTAATAATAATTCTGTATCAGAAAAACTTTGTGGATCACCACCTAATGCTAAAGAATTAGAATAATCAAGATTTTTCAGCAAAGATATACCATCACGATTTTTTATTGCTGTTGTCGTCGCACCTGATGTTTTGACATCTAGTGAAGTCGATAATGAGGTGTTAAAGTTAGGTATTGACTTCAACTTTACACCATCTTTTACAATGATGCAATGACAACTGTAGAAACGACACCACTGACGATATAAATCTAGTTCATCTCGTCCATGGTAGAATACTGTTGGATACTTGCGTAAAATTTCTGTAAATATGGAGGGATTCTAGGATAACGAATGAAAGAAAACACGTGCAGAAATCAGTCACGTATATTTATTAGATTTCTAATTGGAAAACTTTCAACAAAACAGCTGGGGTAATTATTCATTATAATTCAGTTATGTGGAAGAGTCAATCTACTCAGCAAGATACAAAGGAATATGACTACTTTACACTGTCCAAAGGAGGACAAGATTCCACCTTATGTTACAATCAACCATACCTATCACCGGTTCGTATGGATATATTAAAAGACAATAAGCATCAAAAAATAACCGATAAGATTATTTTAATCCAAACCTCTAAGGAAATCTTATTAAATTAGTGTGGAGGGATCTGTGAATATTGTGGAATTTTCATAATTTAAATCGCGAACTGATCTAACTAGACCACCATTGAAACCTGAGAAAGAGTGAACTGCCGTTTCACTCTATTATGGGACCGCCTAACAGTGCGCAGCTGCGACCCTGCATCAGGAAATCATACCCACGAACTTCCGTATCGCGCGCTAACACTTGACCTATAGAACACTGAGGTGGCATCTAACAATGCACATATCTAACATCGGGCGCGGGACTGAAGACCCACGGTCCGATCCCTGACGCCGAGTCGTGGATAGGCACTGCTGGAGAGTCCCATACCAGGAGGAAACGGCCGTCCAGTGCTCTCAGGTTTCATTAATGGTCTCGTTAAGATCAGTTTGTGATATGACAAAATGTCTTTTCTATAACCATCGACATCAAAAGGTTTAAACCTTGTTTATTTATGTTATTATTAGTAGTAAGGATTTGAATTATCCCGTTGTTTGATATTCAGGAGTGAATTTAAACAGCCTTTGTTGGTATGTATGCATCCTATGCAAATAGCCTCGATATAGCCATTTTGTTACAATATTTATGGATCAGATGGATTTCGCCTGGTACTGGAATTCATAATACTCCTTTAGTCCTATTTTGAACTCGTTAGTTGGATGGGTCAGCACCGCGGTGTAGGTATTCGCACTGAGACTCAAACGCAGTAAGAAGCTCAGTAGGTAATCCGCTGACATTTGAAACGAAAGGTTCGAGTGGTAATGTGAACATCAACACTGGGATCAAGGTATATTCAGATGAGGAGTTTGAAATAAGGTGAAACTTGTGTTCATTATTTCCCTGTTACTCATGATCCACCTATCCCGAACTATTTATATCTAGAAAAATATCAGAAACTATTTTCCACATTTTTGAAAACTCTCGTATTTATACAATTTACTCAGATTTATCTCTTTTCTAATAGTATTTTCTAACTTACCATTCAACAAATCAACCTCATGTTGGAAAAGATATTCAAAGCTATGGAAAATCGCATTACTTACTCACTATCTGATGTTATTTTTATTGAGTGAAATTTTAATTTCCAGATTTTTTCACTTCTAAATTCCCACCATGGGGGCTCCTCTTCATGTAAGAGTTTGAAATCAAAAGATATTCCCAAACACAGACTGGGTCATCCCATAGACATACCATATGCTTATGCCTTTACACAACCTCAGGGTCAGACGGAAGGTGAGAAATTACAAGCAATTAGAGTAAGTCGATCATGCATTACCGTGGTTTTTGTATGAACTAATGATTCATTTGTACTTGATGACTGCCTGATTTCGAATTCCAAATACAATATGTTTATTTGCGTTCACTTAGTTCTATTTGGCCTTAATTACGTTATTTCGAGGATTCCTAATTCGTATAATAATTCAAATACTTTTACCCATCACAGTTACTATTTTCGAAAAAGCTTCCCACAAAAAGGCCGTGCGCGACCGGCCTCAAGCATTTGTCCCTTGAACTCTGTGGTCACCCTCCCAGGTCGTTAACTTACTTACGCCTGTTACCCCCAACGAAGGATAGGCCGCCGACCAGTATCTTCCAACGCACTCTGTCCTGGGCCTTCCTTTCCAGTTCTATCCTATTTTTGTTCATTCGTCTCATATCTGTCTCCATTTCTCGGCGTAATATGTTCTTTGGTCTTCGTCTTCCCCTTTGGCCTTGAAGATTCCATGTGTGGGCTTGCCTTGTGACGCAGTTGGGTGCTTCCCTTAATGTGTGTCCACCCCATACAGTAGAACTGTCTTGACATTTATATTGAAAATTCTGTCTTTGGTGCTGTTTGGCAATTGTTTTGCGTTCCAGATGTTCTTCAGTTGTAAATATGCTGCTCTTGCTTTGCCGAACGTACCTTCACATCTGCATCAGATCCACCATGTTCATCAATGATGCTGCCCAGATATGTAAAGGTTTTTACATCTACCAAATCTTCACCGTCAAGTGTCATTCGATTATTGCATGCTGTGTTGTATCGGAGTGTTATAACTTGTGGCCTGAGTGTGACCTGTTAATGGATAAGTAATGATACCGCCAATTAGGGAGCAGTGACTTATCGATCGGATCAATGACGCGTAAACCCGTATGAGAAGTCTAAATTCCTGATTCGTCTCGCTTCCTGTCTAGTCCAGTCAGTCAAGTCCAGAACACCAACCCGAGCCTCTACTATATAAATAGTTTAGTTATTTAACAATTATACGATAAAAATATACGTTTAGTATTGGTTCATAAATGGATCCAAAAAGTTACCATTCATTATGCTTATCGGGACATGACACGGAGATATTTGTTATTCCCGTTGTTGCTACTTTGACGTGGTGGTCAGGCTTGCCTATCGTGATGAAGCAACCGAGCTATACTGGCTGGAACAACCGTTTATCAAGGTCCTACCACGTCAGAAAGGTCGGTTGAAGAGCGATAAGACTAAAAGCAACAAACCAAAGGTCCGAAGGCGAAGTCCTACTGCTGACTGTACAGAGGTGTGACAGCAGTAAGATGTTTCCTTCAGACAACCAGCATGACAACGATGCTGCCTTCTCACAAGGAGGGGTGGGGTTAGAAAGGTCGACCTTAAAAATGCACACCTCGCCTTATCCACGGATATCCGTCTCCGGCGGTAAGGTCTCAACAAGTACGGAGCTAACACAAAAACTACCCATAAAAAGGTCGTGTGTGACCGACCTCAAGCAGTTGTCCCTTGGCCACTGCGGTCACGCTCCCAGGTCACTAAGACCACCTCTAATCCAATTCCCTTTTCCGGTCCAATTTTAGCGACTAGGTTGACTATCATTTTAGCTAAGATCTGGGAGTTAGACGTTATTCCATCTGATTGGTCGCAATCACTTATCGTCCCAATATATAAGAAAGGGTCAAAATCATCCTGTGACAACCATAGAGGGATTAGTTTGACTAACATAGCATCTAAATTACTATCATCAATAATTATCGGACGCGTAACAAAGACTCGTGAACTGCAAACACAAGAGAATCAAGCTGGCTTAAGACCTGGTCGTGGCTGTATCGACCACATATTCTCCATTCGTCAGATTCTAGAACACAGGCATACTTATAGACGTCTGACAATGGTGGTCTTTCTTGACTTAAAAGCAGCATTTGACTCGGTAGACCGCGAGATTCTGTGGCAGTGTCTGTCATTGAAAGGCGTACCCCAGAAGTACATAAACCTTGTAAAGGCTCTTTACTCGAACACTACTAGCCGAGTCAGAGCTTATGAGGAACTGATTTCGCAACCTCAAGTGGTGTTCGTCAAGGCTGTCCACTTTCTCCATTTTTGTTTAACTTCATCATAGACCTACTGATGGAAATAATGCTCTCGTCGACTGAATTCTCGGCTATTGATATCCTTCCATGAGGTCCACTTATCGACTTAGTATATGCAGATAACATAGTCCTGTTCGGTGAAGACGCTGACAAAATGCAGAGTCTTTTGGTAGCTTACTTACTTACTTACACCTGTTACTCCTCGTGAAGGAGCATAGGCCACTCACCAGCATTCTCCATCCAACCCTGTCCTGGGCAATCCTTTCCAGCTCCGTCCAGTTGTAATTCATCCTTTTCATATCTGCTTCTATTTCCCGACGCAATGTGTTCTTTGGCCTTCCTCTTTTTCGCTTCCCTTCAGGGTTCCAAGTTAGGGCTTGCCTCGTGATGCAGTTTGACGATTTGCGTAATGTATGTCCTATCCATTTCCATCGTCTTTTCCTAATTTCTTCTTCAGCTGGAAGTTGGTTTGTTCTCTCCCACAGAAGGCTATTGCTGATGGTATCCGGCCAGTGGATGTTGAGTATCTTGCGTAGGCAGCTATTTATAAATACTTGTACTTTCTTGATTGTGGTTGTTGTAGTTCTCCAAGTTTCAGCTCCATACAGTAGAACTGCCTTGACGTTCGTATTGAAGATTCTCACTTTGATATTGGTTGAAAGTTGTTTTGAGTTCCATATGTTCTTCAATTGTAGGAATGCGACCCTTGCTTTGCCGATCCTCGCCTTTACGTCTGCATCTGAACCTCCTTGTTCATCGATGATGCTTCCTAGGTATGTGAAGGACTCTACATCTTCCAGAGTTTCGCCATCAAGAGTGATTGGATTGCTGTTCTCCGCCTTGAATTTGAGGACCTTGGTTTTCCCTTTGTGTATGCTGAGGCCTACTGATGCAGAGACTGCTGCTACACTGGCTGTCTTCATCTGCATCTGTTCGTGTGTACGTGATAGGAGGGCTAGGTCGTCTGCGAAGTCCAAATCGTCTAATTGATTCTGAGTTGTCCATTGTATTCCGTGTTTTCCTTCAGATGTCGAGGTCTTCATAATCCAGTCGACCACCAGAAGAAAGAGGAAGGGAGAGAGTAAACAGCCTTGTCTGACTCCAGTCCTTACTTGGAATGCATCTGTCAGCTGTCCTCCATGCACTACTTTGCACTGTAGTCCGTCGTATGAGTTCCGGATAATGTTGACAATCTTCTCAGGAACTCCGTAGTGTCGAAGAAGTTTCCATAATGTCCTCCTATCTACACTGTCGAATGCCTTTTCATAATCAATGAAGTTGATGTATAGTGATGAGTTCCACTCAACTGATTGTTCGACGATGATCCGTAGTGTTGCAATTTGGTCTGTGCACGACCGATCCTT